TGCTCACGCCTGCTAACCATTTTCGCTCCCTGATTGCCACCGTGTCTGCGAGTGTACAACACCTGCCGCCAGGCTTTGAGAAACTTCGAAAGAAACCTGATGCCGGGGTGAAGCATTATCCGAGCTCTAAGCGCAGTACACATGCGTGCATATATGAATATATCACTACAGAATCACTTTGCAGTGAACGTGCTACTAAAATGTAGACTGGGGAGAGTATTGCCATAACAATACTCTTTTTTAAACATTCTAGGTTAGAGCCACAAAAATGGTTACATTAACAATTCGAATGCAGCTAGACGACTATATTCGACATGGATGGTCATAACGGAACGCGCACAATGCCAGAACACGTGCATATGTGGTCCGCGGAGAACTATGGGTAAAGCTGTGATTAAAATGGTCTTGTTTTATAGCTACGGGATTAAGGTATCTCTTACAAAAAGCGAATCTAACACCACCTCCTATGTCTGAAAAGGTATTCAAGAGTGAAACATAATGTGAACGTCCCGAAAACGTACGTTTAAATGAAGTCAACTTATACCAACGAGGATGGATTCGAGAAACTTCAGCTGCTGCCTATTTCACTGGCAGAAAAAGCGATCTAATCGGGTCACAGCATTAGTCCTCTACTACTTGCACCGTTGTGGTAGGGGGTTTGGAAAAGTTGCCTCAAACTAATTTTAGCAACTCACAATGCCAGTATTCGGAATACGGGAGATATCTCAATATTTTCATCTTATACAACTTCCAATCTGTCACGTAAGGATGGTTGGCAATACGGCGCTGAATTTGGTATGCACAGAAAAAATCCTTTCGTGAGCAGCCAGCTTAGTCCTAAGTCCATCTGAGGACAACTTTTTTGTCTTCGTCAGCATCAATCTGTTAGGATGACACAAACTACTGTAGTCATTCCAAAACAAAGTGAGCTTAAATTTTTGGTTCCCTGGGGAATCGGCAATGCGACTGCAGTAAGTCTACTCTGTTAAAAGCAGAGCCGGAACCATATGTCTTTCGGGAGCACAGTAATCACTTAAAAGCATCTCTTATTTTTGCAGCATATGTAACGGATTTTATCAGCTATTATTTAAGACCGACAACTGATTCCGCGCTCAAAAGCATGTTTAAACGGTAATCCGTGAGCACTCATATGAACCATAGCTGTTTCTTCTGACCAACCGTGCCAGTGTAGTGGCAACCGGCATGCATGTTAGTGTGTGGTACGCGTTGGATTAAGGAGCACTGCAAATTCTGGAAGAACAAGTTAACTAGAAGTCTGTGATAAAGGCCCTTAACTGATAAAAGGTAAAATGGCAGAGGTAGGAAAACTTAGCTGGCACAAGCACATGCGTCATCTAAATTGGGTTTCGACATAACAATCCCTTGTCGTGACTCCTAATCGTCGCATTCTATGCCATACTTACCTATCGATCATGCGAAACCGCCTGTTTATGCATCCCTCTGGGTGTGCCCCCCCCCCATACACTACCCGATTCTGGCAGATCAGACATTTGTACTTTTGCAGGTTCCCCCCGACTCCATTGATCAACAATCTATTTAGTAAGACACTAATTTTTGCGTGCCGATATCTGATAATCTGTTGTCATTGTTATCTCTGGTCTTCTTGTTTTCTAAGGTGCCTAATTAGTGTGAACGGGCCACTTTTACTCAGCGGTCCCTGTGTGGCACAAGACCACATACTGGAGCTTTAAACAATAATAGTTCATTTCATTAGAAAATTACACATCAACTTTAGAAGTGGATCAAGTGTACATTTGTCGAGACAAAGATGAAGAGACGATGAATGTTGCCTTCAGAAGTTGTAAACGGTAAAATAATGAGCCGCAGACCTGCGATATGCAGGTGTGAGGAGAGGCTTGAAATGATTTTGAGCGCTTGGTCGACTATGTGCTCACAGGCAAGCAGAATGTGTCCAGGAACGAAAGTCACGTTATAGTCATCAAGGTAGTAAGTCTCAATTTTTTGCAGTAACCAAGATCGTCTTGTAGCGTCACCAAAATTTGTAAAATGCTAGAGCAGACTCGATATTTGTCCCTGGGTCTATGCCTGCTTCTAATTCTCTAATCCTGTGTGGAATTTTGACCTGCATCTCGAGAGGTCACTGCAGTAGTTTAACTAGTTGGCCGCATTCTGCACAGGGAGTGCTTGTTGCTGTCAGGCCGACAGGTTGCAGAACAAAATCATGATTCGAAAGAAGCCAAAATGTGCTTTCATGGGATTCCCCATGCAAGATGTGGGCATTTTCGCCTCAGGTGTTGAATCCAAAGGCATTTCTGTGTAGGTAAATTTTAAATCGTGAATATACTTAAGCAATTCAAATTCAGGGTGCACACTGATGCAAATTAGGATTAAATGTTATTTTAGAGTGCAACTTTAATAATCGGATTCCTTTTAGTGATTTTAAGTTGACTAATTGCATCTTTGTGCTCATTCGAACCCGAGTGGAGACCGTTGGTGGACATGACTGCCAAGCCAAAATCCAGGAAAATGAAAATCGACTCAGTGGACCCCAACGATTGACTTCGAGACAATTTTCGTACATTATTTTAAACCCAACGTGATAGATACAACTGCGTATTACGGTGACCTAATTTCTGTTTACCGACAATAAATGCATATTATTTTCCTGATCAAATAATTACAGTGTCGGCGACATTTTCGGCCGGAATGCATTGCCGTTTTGCACTTGTTTTTGCAAAGGCAGCGGGACTACTTCAGCGAAACTACTTTTTTTCACTGGCATCATGCAAAATACTACGAGCACAAACTGGGCTTCCATAGGTCCACAAGTGTCCATTTTGTGCGTCAACTACACGAAGATGATTACAATCACTTCAAGTTCGCTATGAACTAATGGAACTTATTAAATAAGTCAAATTTGTTTCAGCATTTGCCAGGAATCTAATAATGAGTCTCACGAACACTTTAAGTATACACAACTGTATAAACCTGTGTTGCATTTACAATTTGCCCATGGGGCCTGAAAAGAGGTTTAGATTTAATTCGTTTGACTATCTGGTGAGCAATCGCGCAAGAACATGCACATCCGGTAGCAGTCAAAATTCACAACTTTGACCATAATGCCACGGGAACGGCAATAAGGTTACACTTACAAGGTCCCGTTATGTCAAGATCTGTTCAAAGAACTGGGACAACCTAGATAAAACGTCGTCTGTCCCTGACAGAGTCAAGCAGTTGTTTCCGACAAGATGGGAAACAGGCGTCTAGTCTAACATAAACTACGGAGCGGGTTGTCGTTTCTAAAGTCACTGCGCATTCCTTTTGTTCAAATAAGAAGAACTCCAATTTACTAATGGGAAAAAAGAGGTTATTTGCATTTAAGAGCTGCGATTTTGACAGCCAATAGCTGTAAAATCTGTAGATCAATCGAAAGGAAGGTAAGATGCGTGGCAGTAGAGGACACCACAATTTATTTATGGACAATCATGGAATTGGTTTAATTTATAATAAAGATTTTTCAAGTTATGTGGGCAATTAGTCTCTGCAGTCACCACAATTCTACAATTAGACAATAAAAATTTCATTGGAAATTCTTGAACATTGAGCAATTAAAACACTTTGGTTGTGAATATTATTGGGTCATTTGCATAAGGGGGCTTCATTGTAATCAACAATGCTTTATGGCTTTTTGTCCACCTACGGCAGCAGCTTCGTTAGCACTTGGCCTTCCTGTTAGTAAAGTAGCAATTTGAGGGGCGTGATTCATCGCTCTACTCTTATTTGGACAATTTGCGTGCGCTTCTGAAATTGACCTCAAGCGACAAAACAAGTCCACAAAGAAATGTCCTGGTCAAAATCTGTTTACATGTAAACGCACATTAAAATTGGAACTACTGATACATTACTCATTTACTTTTTGACATGATTTCATCTCTAACTGAAACATCCTGTGAATAAATTATTATAATCCACTTAAAGGAACAGTTTTATCCAAAATTAGCTTGATTGATTTTGGGGATGCAAACCATACAGCCGCAAATAATCTTGCACTTAAATGTGTTATTTTTGGAATCACATTGCGTCCCTGTAGTTGAAGACATAGGTGCTAAATTCATCGAGTACGTTCGAGCTGTGAGTTACTCTAATGGATAAAATGCAGTCTCATTTACGATTAGCGAAGAAAAACTAGAGTGTATTTAAAGAAGTGTATTTAAGTGTAGTTTACTGTAATTTTTTAAGTTGGCTTATTCAGTGGCATGCACTGCTTTTATCTGTATTTAAGTGAAAAAAAATTGATCTTGCAGAACTAAATTCCTAAAAGTGATTTTAAGGAATAAAATTTTCAACAAGAAAATGCAGAACTAAAACACTTGAAATGTTTTCTTCAGGCTATTTCCACTCTACGTGACTTCTCAAAATCTTATTTGTTGGGCGCGTTTATCTGTTCCAATTAGAAACCAACGAAACAGAAACACGGATACTGCCCTATAAGAAAGGTAAAAAGACTACGATTTTTCTCAAGGAGACATCTGTTGATTATTTACAGAAAATTAAATTTTTTATCCGGACGTCCAAAAAAGTTCTCTTACATGTTTGAAATCGATGTCATGCGCCATAAGGGTCGGCCACTACCAGTTACCATTTCTCGGATTAACATTAAGATGTCAATAAAATTTGAAAACACAAAGTTGTGATTCAGTCAATTCAAACATCTAGATCATTGAAAAAATTTATTACCCTTTACTTTAATAAATAAATGTAGAGGAGTGTCTGCAGTGCTTTGTAAACCTTGGACTAGAAAGCACCTTTGCTAGGGAGGCTAATTTCGACCAATCAGCGGCCAATTTTTCCATGCATTTATCAAAGCAAAACATCGTAGAAATTAAAAGGATCCATATAGACATGATACAATAGTGTTGCTTGGGTTCCAAAGCCACATAAATCAAAGCAGTATGTTTATTTTGCGAGTTCAAAAAGCAAGGCATGAAAATGGAAGCTCGGTATTTACTAGCCTCTCACTAACGTTCTTCAATTCGCACTCCCGCCGAGTACCTGCTGCAGCACCTTCCATAGAGAACAGTCATTAATGAAAGTTGAATAGCAAATATTGATCCGCAAGTGGCAATGAAGTAGGACCAGGAGCCAGAAATTTCGACGGTGTAGATTATGACAGCTGCCAGAGCGAGGAGTGAACCGACGTAGAGGAGTAACATTCTCACTGTTCGTTCCACGCCAGATCGAGTCTTGGAACACAGTTGGATAAAGTCAATTATGCACACGACCGAAAGCATGGTTATTCCTATGATCAGGCAGCATGTCACCGCCAGCATGACGTCCTTCTTTGCAGAGCCGCTTTCCGTGCACTTTTCAAAGAGACTCCCACAATGCCATTGTGGCAGAATAACAGCCAAACAGAGCGCCGTCAAGGACAGAATCAGGATTGCCAGGTGGAGGTGTTTTAGGCCCATCACTTCTTCTTCTCCTTCCTTTGAACACACTAATGCTTTTAGCTCTTGCAGCAGAACTCCGTGTGCGCTTTCCTGTGTGCAATATATCAACCAATCAAAACGCTAAGTGACGGTGGAGGGAAGCAACGAATCACATTGAGGCATTGCAACACACGCCGTTTGTGGGTGCATGACGCGTCATATTTGTCATTGCATATGCGTGTATATTCATACCTCTTCCTCTGCGGAGAGTATTCGCTTACTAATCTAGGCTCAAGAGACGACGTTGTCAGTGTGTGAACACATTTGGGCAGGTGGAAAGTACGTGTTGTGTTGTAATTATTCAAAATTCTGTGTGGCGGAAGAGAAAGATGCACCTCTGAGATAGCCTAGCGTACGCTACAGGGTAATATATACTTTAAAAAAGATTTTTTTAAAATTCGCCAAAGAGTTTACAGTTATGCAGAATTATAAAATGTTTGTAAGAACCTTTTTCAGGCCATGAATACGCCGTATGCCCTACTTTCATCACTAAAAAAGAAACATAACAAAGCTGCCAATGGTTTCTGCAATTCGAAATAACTTTTTCGGTCCGAGGAAGATCTTCAAACATGAATACGCGTATAAAACCCTTTTTCACCTCCAATCTTTCATTTTATTGAAACGATGGCAGCCTCAAAATCTCATTAACGAACCTCTCGTAACTGCAGAAATTAATCTTTGAAGCCTAAAAATAACATCTTCAGGTTTTTAAAGACAGCATTCTTGTTTTTTTCATATTTCGTCTATCTCTGGTAGATTCTGCTGGAGTTGACAAACATTATTTAATGGAGTTAGTCATTTGTCTTGGAGCAATTATGCTACGAATGGCATTAACTTGACGTCCAGATTTTAATTTAGTCAGCATGCATTTTGTAACATTCTGAGTGGGCACTGAGGAGAGGTAGTAATCTCGCTGATATGGGGCCCTCAACACAGCTGCGTTACGGCATAATTTTGCCAAAAATTCAATTAGGCCATGTTGCAAGCTCGCACAACTGAGATTGCCCAGACTCATTTCGATCTTGTTGTGGCTTTCCAAAGAGCTATTGCTCACTCCATTAAGTACTTGGTTTGATTTACTAAATCGATTTGCGAATTTTACTGACTTAAACACGTTATTTTAAACCGTCCAATATGGTTTAAGGAAACTGACCCTTTATATGGACACATTTTCACAATGACGACGTTAAAATTACGACACTCCCAAAACATAAAGTTTTGATTTACACATGTAGTTCATGCTAAAAGGTTCTGCCTTAATCTCTTCCACGTCGGCTTCTTTTCAATGCAGTAGCTGAGTTTTTTGGTGGTAAAATAGTGCCCAAACTTGTTCCATGTACAGAACTTTCCAGACCAACATCTTCTTTATCCAAATGGCTTGTGTTCTTTTAGTAAGAACATCTTGTTACTCTCCCAGTCGAATCAGAAGAACATGGTGGCCGAGGCACATGTTCATTCATCTCGAGCCCTTCGTGCTTCCACACTGTTAAAGTGCTTAACTTTCTGGAAGATTTCATGGCTTTCACTGTCCACTCGAACTACCCACATTCTGCTACATTCTACAATGGTTTGTGACAATTTCCAATCCCTAGGGACACATTTATGCGCACAGCATCTTTGATATCTGTGCCTGAAAGCTTAAGTACTTTTGGAATTATTCCTCTGTTTGGCAGTGGTATTGCGTGTGTATGAGCAGACTAAATACTGTCTTGGAGACCCGCACTCCTGATATTTCCCACTACCTCTTGTGAGGGCGTTAATTTGTGACCCCGAGGTCAAGTAGACTGAATTCGCAACTACCATTGGCATTAAATAATATCTTGTTATGCTCCCATACCCAACTCAACTAAATTAGCGCAATGCAATCCTTTTATTACTACGTGAAGTAAAGTCGTTTGAAAACACCTCGGAGATTTTCCCGAGACCATGGACTTTCATCTTCGAGATCTGACCCGGTGTAACAGCAATGAACGATGACAATTTCCTTATGCTGCCCATGGTTGATGACATCGCAATCAAAATCGTCCGTAGTGAATGAAACATCTGGTCGTAAGTTAAATGGAGCTCTCAGTTCATCTGGTCCCATGCCAAGTGGGAATGTGTCCTTACCAACACTGGAACTCGAGAAAAAGCAGAAGCCCTTCACCAAAGTAATAGTTGTGCACAATAGCGCAAAAAGCACGGCAGGTGTCATTATGAAAGAGTGAAATTACAAAACCAAAATAATCAATAGTTTAAATATTTTAGTTAACATCGCATTAGCACCGTCTTTATATAGAGGCCACTTTAAGTAGCCAGACTAAGCTCCTCTAAAACTGTCTAAATTAATCGATAAGAAACTGTAAGGTAATCAGGACATGAAACGAGATTTCGATTTTGTAATAGAATTGGGGAGGGGTGCGAGGTGTTATTAAATTTGTGATTTTATTTCAAATTTCCTATCACTATTAATAAGCGCGTGTGAAATATTCTCGCAGCACGTAAGAATAGGACGTGTTTACTGTATTATTATTCCAGGTAGCAGGTTTAAAGAGAACCGTGAATTTGACTTAGGAGAAGGATCCAATCACTACATGAATTTGACTAAAGTCAAATTAATTGATTAATTTTATTGATTCGTCATTACATGATTTCATTACTTAGATGTATGGCACGCCAACTTAAAGGAACAAGAGGTACAGGCTTATGTGGTTGTTTTTATCAGAGCTACTTTGACCATCCACTCAAGCATGAGTCCCACGATTAATTCGAACTACGCCCATTTATGGAATATTTGCTATACCACTTGACTATTAGTGGAACGTAGATTATTATGGCTTTGAACAGACGGAATTGATTGTGATAAGTTGTATAACCTTAGGACAGGCCACATATCAAGCAATAGCGCTGCGACAGTTTTAAAAGCAGTTAGACAGTCCCTTAAAGATGGTCTCTCCTTGTAAACTGTCATAAACACACGGTCCATCACACTGAGGTAAGGATTTCGTTACTGCTAAATTTTTGTTGTAAGGTTCCTTTAGAGGGTAGCTGATGTCTGAAAGTGACGTCATGCGTAAGAAGCGCGTGGCTAGCACAGGGATTACACCACTATCACCAGACGCCACCAACTATAGGCTACTTTTACCTTGATAAGTTGCATTATAACACGATGCCTTAGGTTCTGTGACGTCTAATCGGAGACTTCTATTCTTCTTCTTGGGAGTAGTCTTGGGGTAACCACTGTATTGACAGGGGTAGTGAAAGCCCAGTTTGCAGTTAAACACAAAAACAACAGGTTCATGATTCATCGGAGCTCAAGCGCAAACACCAAGTCTCCTGAGAACATGGAACCACACTTAGATGCGTTAATCAACGCCTTAAAGGATGGGGACGCTACCTGGTGACCTGAAACCTGTAAATAGGCTGCCATGCGGTGACTAAATCTTTCCCGTTCGACAAATTCACCATAATTCGTTGCTGGGATGCATTTGCGAAACACTGTATCACGCTAAAGTATAACAGATTTTATTTTGGGATCGGCGACTCCTGGAAGAAATGCCGATAATTAGACCAGTTGAGGGTTAACGTACCAGAAGGACAGGCGGAGACTTAGATAAGGCAACGGAACTGAATCACTAACCAGGAACCCCCTACACTGAGAAAGAGGCTTGCAACCACGGTTGAGACAACTTCTGCAACCCAAAAATACGGTTTCTCGTATCGATACAGGCATAAAGCATATCAAGACCGATACCTGGAACTTGTCGTCAGGTGCTTCAAGTCATTTTGAAACAAACCTTGAAAACGTCACCCACTCCGAGTCCCACTATAACCCCTCTTTGCAATTAATAGTGACTCGTTTTCCATGTGACATTAAACAAGTGAAAATAAAAAATTCCTTAATTATCAACATAAACAAACCAACAAATCATAACTGCGAGTCACTTAGGCATTCCATGAGAGCATTGGCACAGCCACGAGTAGCAGGCTGCACCGCTGCGGTTTTCGCCCAGAAACCAAGCACGTCACGGAAGCGATTCCACCCAGCCAACGGGTCTTCCTCCGCCGATGCCGCAGCAGCAGAGCCAATCAGACGCGTGCGCTTCAACTTGGTCACCGCATCACCACCGTCTTCGGCGGTCTCGGGAATGGACGTGACTATCGCGGTGCCGAGTGCACGCAACAGACGAAGGGGAACCTCGGGCGGGCAGCGGACCACGACGCCCGGCTCGGTTCCGTAGTAGGACAGCAGACTGATGGCCATCCTCGTGCAAAGACCGGGAAGGCCGCGCAGAGCAGGAAGTATCGACACGAGATTGTCGTTTCTTTGGTGTAGATGGGCGAATGTGGATAAATTAAAGATCAGTGTAGCTACGGCAACCTGAAAAGGGAGTACGAAGCCTCGTTTTGGGCATGAAACACGAACAATTAGATTAAAAATTGGAATAATGTAAGCAACTCACTGCTTTCCACTTAAGCAAAAGGTGACGGTAAGCAACAGAAGTTATACTGTGACTTGGTGCCAACGATTCTTTAAAAAATGTCATTTTTATAGAAGACGATAAAAAAACAAAATTTCTTCAATAGGATAGAATAATTTGGTAACTGGCTTCTTTGTCGCAGAATAATTCAAAGGTAATTATTAACGCCGATTTAACGATTTCTGCGTATAACACACGAGCCAACCATTCAACACTACCTAAAATTAGTTTTTTTCTCGCTTGCTTGAGCTAGAGTTCAAAATTGGTACTTCGACGGTGGCAGGCATCATAAGCGCTTGCCCACAAACTAGAACACTAATATTCGTCCTTCGTTTCTTGCACACACACTCGTTTTCAATTACACAAAGCAAGCGATGGGAGATAGGGTTTGCATTGCCAGGCGACACGCAATAACGTCGACCTTGGCCACAATCTTTATGCACAGATCGTGAATTGGCAGGCCTTACCTGATGACCTTTCTTATCGAAAAACGCGTCTATTCGTCTACCGGTGATGAGACTGGCAAATTTAGAAGCTAGACGAATGATGAGAGGCAGGGAAGCGGGCACATTGGCGATAATGTCAGGACGCGACCCGTCAATGGCGATGGCGTTAGTCATCAAGCGGAAGGTGAAGAGGAGGCAGTTGACCTGGGCAGGAGTCGGTGGGGGCTCAGACGCTGTCGAGGACTCCAACAGACCCTGGAGGCCGGACACCCGCGAAACACAAGCCCAAGCATCGGGCTGGAAAATGGCTTCACTGGCACTCGACCAACGAACCAGGCAACGAAGCAAGTCGAAGAGGGGAAACGCCGTCTCTGGAAGGTGCGACAGGTGAACAGGTCAGTGCACGAGATGCTAACAGAAGCCACGTTAGTAGCGGCATTTGATGCTGCAATAAATAGCCGGGCGCACGGTGGTTGTTTGACCTCACACGTGAAACCACCACAACGCGACACCAACTCTGTGGACCAACGCTGTGATGTGGCATTTAGTGACGATATAAATGTTGATTTTTACAGTGCAAAGAGCGCGAATGTCGAGTACACAACATAACCAGTGAAAATTACTACTTCAAGTCCACAGAGCTGATGCCACCCAAAATGCACAAATGAATGCAATCGAGGGGATATTTGGCGTACCAGCTGGCCACTGTGCGATGGCATCGAGAATACTTTGCGTCAGGTAGAGAGCATCATGGTCAGGCATCTCAGGACTCATTTTTTCAATAATCTGCAGGGCGCGATCTGGCAAGGGCTTTGAGGCGCTTGAGTTGAATTCGACTAGTTTGCCTAGAAGGTAAAAAACCCCCAATTGCACATTCTAGCCTTCACCAACGAGCTTTTGTTTAGATTCGAGCAATGTACAAACTGTTTCAAGTGGATCTATTGTTCTGAGATAGCTAAACATGAACAGTGTCTCAGAATCCGTTGGTTCTTAATTCAAACATGCCTTATTCACTTGAGCCAGTTATGTGGACTCATCTGCATTACTTTATCAAATTTTATTTACTAACTATTTATCAGTAGGCAGTCAGGCAGTTGAAAATTTACTGGTGTCATTGCACATTCCACCCAAAGTGCTCTATTTCCTCACTGGTTGTTTATGCTTGTTCTGCCATAACCAAATACGATGTCATGTAGACATATTCATCGGAGCAAACGTACGCAAGAGCACCTGGACGTTGGTCGTCTCCAGGGTGATGCATTCTTTCGCAGGGAAATAGTCTGCAGCGTTTGCACCACTTGCATTCGATTGGTGCCCACTCGACCCACCGGGAACATAGCGACCGCTGCCAGTGAAGGGGTCCGAGAAGCCACCGGTGACGGAGGAGGGCAAGGAGGACTTGTCGAGGCCGGCGTTCTTGATAATGTAATTCGCCACCGTGTCCAAGTAGTCCTGGGGGAGGTTGTGTTTGAAGAGGAATGCCTGCGCCACGTGCCAGGGGTCGTCTGTCTTGTTGTAAGGCAGCTTTACCGGGGGGGCGTTCTCATCGAAATCCACCGTGAACACGTAATCGTACTCCTAAAAGGCAAGAATTACGTCAACCGTACACGCACATTCACAGAAAGCCACGTGCCTCACTTAAAGCAAAAAAATTTAGTTGTAAGATTGGAAGGAAGAATAATATGCTTAGAAAGGAATGCGTGTTAGTGCTTTGGAACAAGCAATGTGTGCATTTTTGAGTCCAAGGTGTGTGGTGACTAGGCCTGACAACTTCTGGACGATTTTTTTGGGATGTCTCCGGTCCCAGGAGCAAGCTTATGAAGGCGTTAAGCAATTTACTTCAGATTTACAAAAATAATTTCCACTCATCATGCACCAGTATCTTCCGTCTGTTGCTACAAGCGCATTATTTAATAAGTCCACTCAGGGCAAAGTCATGTTCTTGGAACACTTCTCCTTGAGCTACCATACATTCGTGAATAGCAATCCTCGTCACTTTATTGTAAGAAGTCATCCTACTTAGTAATATACACGTAGAGAGATCAGCCGTGTGAACAGTTTAAAGGTTTGGCAATTTCCATCGTCACACTGGTGCGCTTTGTGTAGAGGCTGGTGAATACAGCTCGGATTAAGGGACCGCATTTACGGCAAACACGACAAGGCTAGGTCAGACCCGATCAACCTGGCAAATGAAGTGGTCTCCAAAATGGGCTGAGCTTTGCTTAGGTTTCACCCACTCCACCTCAATAAGTGATGCTAGAGGAAATGACGCATTTAATAGAAAAATAGTCCACTTTGAGAACAGCCTCGAATTTCAAAACTTCCTTTTGTGGACTCGGGTATAAGCAAATGTGCCTGGTTTTGGAGATATCACAATAGTAAATGGCCCTTTCCATCACATTGAGATCCCAATTGCCAAAGGCGCCAACGAATGGACAATCTAACAAACCTCACCTGATTCAATAGGTAGCGTAGCCGAGGACAAAACAAAGCCAAACAAAGCGTGACTGGTACTGTCGAAGACACAAGCGACAAAGGTGTGCGTCAGAATAAAAACAGATGAAATGGTGCACATCAAATTTGCAACAGAAATGACCTTTAATTTACTACTACCTACTTTATCCTTCAAGACGACCGCAGTCATAAAAATCGTGGGCATCGCTAGCATATGGAGTAGCAAAAGAAGGGCATTTATGAAAAGGATTGCTCTAATCACATCAGCAAATCTGAACCTGCTCAAATTGCCTCAAAGGTTCGAATGCCTGCTGGATTCGTGGCAATGGTGTGCTCCCTTAGAACACCCTGAACTGAGCAAGCATATTTTATATCCACAAGGGGCACACTAAGATTCCAGCACATTAAATGAAAAGTAAGCATACAATTAGAGGCGAGTAAAACCACCACAGTTACTTGATTTATTTGTTACACTGATTAGGAGTAACAAGTGCGCAAGCCACTGAAGGCAGGGCCCAAATTTCCCTGCAGTATAAAAAGGCTTAAAGAGGCTACAGACCCTGCCTTCAAAGAGGGTTCGATTCGACCCGGTGGCGGAGTCGTCGATTGAGCCAACGACGTCGCCCACCTTGACCCAGCGGGACTCGCGCGCCGACCACTGATAGCACACGACTCCCGCGTCCTCGCGAATCACCATCACCTGGCCTTCATTTCTGCCTGCGAAAAAGGATGAAAGTTGTGTCATTCTAAAGTGGCAACATTACAACACTTCGCTCAGGGACAAGCAAGTGGTCGTCTAAGACGTGCAGTTCAGGAGATCCGCGAAAGCAAGACTATGTCCCGGGGTTGTCATCACATCAAGCAATGCAATGTTTAATCTCCTGCCAAGGCAGAATTTACTACCGTAATATACGCTTATAGTTGGATGTGCTTACAATGTAGTGATAATTTAAAGTAATAATGTTACTCCTAGTTCAACTCGAGTGTTGCTGTGGAGGAAGAGGGTGACGCGAGGAAGCAAAATACATCGCTTTCGTGACTAAGAGACGCACGCTGAATTCCCCAACGCTAAACTATGCTGACTCAATGTCTGCTTAGCTAGGGCAGGTCCTAGAAAAAATGTGGACCTACTTTCCTAGATTGTCCTTGTGTTTTAAATTCTTTGATACCTTCGCAGTTCGGAAATGCTACGTGTTCCGGAATTGAGAACTTGATCCAATGTGGAATTTTTTTCTCTTTAAACACATGAAACTTCTTCAGGCTAATAAGCGATAGCTCATAATTAAAAAGTTGCGCACGTGTTAATAACTATCCCTTCTAGATAGGATAGCCGATTGACCTTCAATCAATCGAGGTCGTGGCTGATAAATTTACCGAACAGAAGACGAGTTAGAGGTATCTGGGCTATCAATGTGAACACGCTTCACCGGTTTCACCTAGATTAACTTGCTCGTTGGGAATTCGTGGTTATTCCTGTTTCAAACAAAAACCGAGTGGCGGAGAACAACCAACGCCTGACTACTGAACACATAAGTTCATTGTAAGAACGCTCTACCAAACAGGCAAGAATGAAACATATTGCCGACTTAGGTATGAAACATTAAAGAAACACGATAGTCAGTCCGTCAGCAACATTGAAAACAATCAGACTTAAGAAGATATCTTGGCTCGTGGTTCATGAAAGTCCACAAAACGAGATCCACCATAGCTTAATACCTCGCAAAGATCACACAGAAGAATGTTGATCGATACTGAATTGAAGTTGCATCGTCCACGCTCGCTCCACTCATTGAAAAATAATGACTTGATAATGTATGGTCCGAATACCAATAGATTTTACCACCTATAACACGACTACTTTGACTACATAATTACCTCTGATTCACCCTGTACATAATGCCTCTTTCGTGTTTTACCTAAAAAAGAACCCTGTGTGAATTTAGACTAAATGTTTTCAACTACTTGCAATCGCGATTAGAACTTCAGCAGCATCAGTTTTGTCTAGGGAAGTATTCGGTCGTATTACGATTGATGGGTTTGTAGCATGGCATGGCACCATAAATGGAGCCAATTAATTGATGCAGATAACGGTGAGTAAATTTTGGAGTCTGAGATGCCTGCCCTGATCAAAGACCTGCATTGCTAGCCCAGCGAACAAATGCAGGGCCTCCTGAGAGAGAATCCGAAATTAGCCGATACACCATGTGCGTCACTGTGCGGCCGCTAACCATAGAGATAATTTAATCGTTTCGCGTGAGGTGGTCAAAGGAATTAGGGCAATCAAAATTTCGCGCTGCCCACCAATGGCTTGTCAGAGTAATCATGAGGCTTACTGACAACACCTCAAGTGAGACTAAGTGGTGAAATTGATACAAAGTTGGTCAGTATTCAAAAAAGAAAGGATTTTGGAAAGTGATGAAACACCGAACGCTAAACTTGTTGACGGCGTAGACAAACGATCCATTGGGTAGCCGAAGCCGAGTCGTCAAAGCGCTGGCAATTCCAAAGAGACGCAGCCCACTTTTGCCGGATGATAAGATCACTTATAACCACTAAAACATACCAGGTACACAAAGAGCTTCAACGCCAGGCAAAGCATGCTTGTCCACCTCGCCTAGGGTGCCTGCAGCCATTTTCGAAGAAGCAAGTTCGGCTTCGTAGGTTTCTAATGCAGTTCCAGTCGCTTGGCGTTCGGCTTTGCGCGAAAAAAGACGAATTTTTGCATCACTATGGGAGCAAAGCCAAAAAGTAGGTTTACTAAGATCCTTTCTGATAGCTACGGAAAAAATAGCTGTGTATAGTAATTAAAGTACAACAAGACATAGGTGACACAAATAACTGAGAGGAATATATTTCGTGAAAAGGAAACGAGCAGAAAACATTCTTGTTAGTGCAATAATTTGTGTCAATGATCAGAGCAACTAATTACACAAAAGATGAGCTAATATGGCACTGGCAGAAAGTTGATAGAACTAATCATCCTCCTTACCCACCTCGAAAAACCGCGTGAGTTGAGATTTACCACTCAGTTAGGCAATAAACATTGGATCTAGGGCTAACGTGACGTCGATTACATTCGAAAATAACAAAATGGAAAAATGGATGTTGCATTTTGTAGCTTGACACGTTTATTTAAAAATCTTATCTGAATTTAGTCATTTGACTGCCAAAAGGGGACTCTACAAGCATTCTCACAACTGTTTTTATTTAATAAACGGAGCATTTATACAAAATACACTAACGTTATACCTTGGACACTTAAATAAATTGGTACATTTTGGATTCGATGAAAATACCGTTGACCTTCACAAAGATGTGAGTAACTTGCCTGCATCCAACAGCAATATCCCCATCAGCTGTGATCGCAACACACCAAACCGTCTGGCAAGGCAGAAATAACGTCTGTTCACACTCCATCTGTTGTACATACCCCACGCCATCGGCTGGAATCGTCCAGACGCGAACGGTCCGATCCTCACCAGAAGAGGCAATAAACTGAGCTCCTGGGTCAACTGCCACTGAGTAGACAAAGTTTGTGTGCCCGTAAAATTCAGCAAGGCACGTTCCAGAAGCAATACTCCAACAACGAAGGCTTCCATCATTGCTGGCTGAAATAAGACGACTTGAGTCGAGGAGGGCCAAGGAACGCACACAGTCTGTGTGTCCAGCCAATATCCTTGCAGGTTTCGATGACTCAAAGGAAGCAGAACCAGGATTTAGAGAGTCAAAAGGAATGCGCCAAATAGCTACAACTGAGTCCGAAGATCCTGTCGCAACAAGATATTCATCAGGGTGAAGTTGAGAAGTCGGTAAGAAAAGAACAGCCCATATTGTTGCTCCAGTGCCTGAAAGGATAGACACAAATTAGTTTCACCATACCGAAAATGTTTTTTTTAACAGGTGAAACTGGCTTACGCTTAAGAGTGCCAATTGAAGTGTCGTAATTCCATAGTTTCGCTGTCGAATCCCAGGATCCACTCAAGATGAGCCCTTTATCATTTGAGTCAAGAGTGCAAACTAATAACTGAAGATGTGATTCGAGGTCTATACAAACCTGTATCGGTATGTCCATGTAAAATAAAAATCGGCTCAGGCTGGTCATCAGTGAACGCGCGAATAAGCCGATCATTCGATCCAGTCAGTATAAGACCACGGGGGAAAAATTCAGTGGGCTTAGCGTAAATAACGGTTGTTACGTAGTTTTCGTGTTTCTCATATTCTTTCCCTTGGTGAGCATTTGGAGTAGCCCTAAAATCACAAAATTTCTCATCTAAACAAAGCTTTAATGAGAAAAGTTAAAACACACTGGCTAAATGCTGTTGCTAAAGCCAATTTCCAATTAACAGTTATAAAAACACCGCACATGTATCTCCACAATCGTGGAAACAAATAACCTTTCTTGCTCGCAGGTATCGCTTGCAGGCACAACCAAAACATTAAATAAGTTTAGGGAAAGGGTCTAATTACAATTAAGGCTATTGAGACCTTGACTTAAAAATTAATGCACCTGTTTAATGCCAAAAGATATACCCTTAAATTTAAGACACAGGTAAGATAGCTTTGACAAAAGTCCAAAAGGCTGGTTGTGGAAACAAGTATTAGGTGCTTACTCATCAAGTTTCCAAGAACGTACAGACAAGTCCCGTGAAGCCGAAACAATAACACCAGCAGAGGGGCTACAGAGACTTCTAACATCACTGGTGTGACCGCATAGCTCATTACGGAACTTAAAGGTAGACATTTAACGAAATCTTCTAAGGGGAAACACCACGATGAATTAAAAAAACGCTTCTATTTAAAGAAAATTAGAACAATTGCTTCCCTAAAATTGCGATATTGTTAAACCTTTATTATAAAATATTATCTAACTGCTAAAATTCAATAATTTTTTTAATTACTGCCTAGTTGTGGAATGACCTTACTGCGGGATCCGCAGGTGGAATCCGCAAATATTTACGGTACAGTTGTTTATTTATTACAGGTAAACGTAGAAATGACGAAAACTTTTTCTGATCGACGATTTCAGTTCGAGTCAATTCTGTCCCGAAATTGCATTTGAGACGCTGGACTAGACCCACAATATAATTCCCTACCAATTTTACTCAACTGACGAAGGGTACTTTTTACAGCCAATTTAATAATGAAAAGTGACTCAACTCGATGGTCTGAAATATTGCCTCTAATCCTACGTAGAATTTTGTTCGGGTGTCATTAGGACTTAAGTTTTTTGGGCAGTAGTATTTTTTGGTATAATGGTGTTAGTGCGTGTTAAACTTCTTTTGTTGACGTATCAAACCTCTCTACCAAACCATGTAATTTCATTAATTGCTAACGTAGGATAATTACAAACAAAGGCACTGGTACTAGCCTGCAATCCACTCTTTCCACACCTCAAATACACCGTCCTTTATTATGCATTTCGTGACAAGTCAGCAAGTAAAACACATGTCGAGCGTTTTTTTCTTAGTATAAAGAAAATAAGCTTACGATCAACCTCAAAGGAAAAGAAGACAATTAATCTACTGGCTGCCTTAGGCCGAATCTCGCCGATAAGAGGCTGCCACTGAAAACGAAACGCGATGGAACCTATCTTCCAATCTCTCTGATCTGCAGCAGCCTATCAAAATAATTTGCAAATGTGTGCACTAGCCTTACTATTACAATGCAGGAGAAACCTACCCATTCAACCACCCTTGCAAAGGTTCTAAACTTTCAAGATAACTTCCTGTTAACTGTTGATCGGTGTTTACACCTTGTCATTAGAGGCGTTCAGTCTGATTCGAGCTGTTAGCCTATCCTCTAATTAAGAATTCAACCTCTTTACCAATCCTTCACACACTCAGATATCGATGGGTAATTTGTCGTGAGGAACCTGGTTCATCTCAACACCTTTAGCTTTTGCCCAGTCATGTCTGTCGTCTAGCTAGACTCCGGCTCCTTACTCTATCATGGCTTACTTCAAAAATTATCAGTTGTCTCGTTTCAACATCCCATAAAGTTAACCTTCCAGACATCCCTTTACTAAAAGATAATTCTGTAGAGCCAATATTAACTCCTGGCAACGACCAGTTGCCTCCTGTCTCATTTGGGACAAAATCACACTTTTATGTTGGAAGAAAAGTTTCATAGATTCAGTTTAGTAAGAGAGAGAATTGTTGTGAATTGTGCTAATTCATATCTGTAAACCCAGCCTACGTATGTCCGCCTTTTCGGTCACCTTGTGTACTGTCATGTCCTATTCACAGCTGTGCAATTATTCACCCACAAACACTTTTATCGTATCTATCATGTGACCAGTTTTGCATTAGGCCACGTTCACAAGTTATAAACAGGAATAAACTTGTATGCGGACGCAGAGTCGCGATCGGTCTGGCAAATAAATAGCGAACGCCACAATAACTGAATCCACCAATAGAACTGTACAATTCCAATTATTCGAAAAACATTAATTTGAAAGCAGCCCACGATGGTTAAGTGTTAGACCCAAACGATTTACCAAAATCGTGTCTATGAAACGTGTGAGTATATTAAGCAATAAATAGCAAGTGGTTACTCTCAGTATCAGAAACAATAAAACAGCCAAATGCCTGCAGGGTTATGGTGGTGGCGAGGCATGAGGTGTGTGGTGGACGGAGGCCAAATCCACCTGCTCCAAAAAGTTGTAAGAAGTATGCAATTACAAATGACATTTGTCTTTGTAAGTAGAAGCGTCTAGTGTGACTGGATAAAGTGCAGACTGTGGTTTATGAAAGACAGGGGGCACTAAACAAGGTATAGGTTGGAGGTTGTGGCACTATTCATCCGATGACTAAGCCAAATTCTATTTAGTTCCTCGTACGCCTTCTCATCCAAGAAAAGAGGATTCCCACGACTGAAATAAAAAAAAATAATGAAAGCAAGAAATTAATAGCAACGTGATTGTGAAGCACTTGGATAAACCTAGCATTTGCTCCGAGCCTCTTACAGAGGCAAAAGTACACAGCCGCGGCTTTAACCAAATTACTTTGTTGTAATCTGATACGTAATCTTTAGGCAATTGAAGGGTTCTGTAATTGTTAAGAGGAAAAAAATCCCCAAGAAAGCGATGAGAAGGGATGAAAATAAGAACTGCCCTCTAAGAAAACAACGTAGTCTTAACAAGCATATCACAAGGCCACGTCAGTTCTGCTAGAGCTATCCAACGTGAGGCTATCCCCCAGAGCGAGCCTTCGTCTGTCATAAAACGCCCATAACCTTTGGTGGTCAGGCAGAATTGGGTCATCAAATTGCCATGTTTATAAAGAAGGCTTGGCATCCACTACTACGTTCGTGGATTGTCTCGATTTCTTACAGAAAAGCCTTTAAAATGCAAACAAGGTCATATCCAGGCAGAAATAACAGAAGGATGCGATTAGGCCAGCGTGCATAATCAGATGTCATAATAGTTGTGTTGCTTTGATTGTTATTAAGTATGGTTAGTCACCAACTAATAGGTGGTGCAAACTAAAACCCACCATCAGTCACCTCTCATGAGTAACAACTACATACACCATGTCGAGCGACGATGGTCGACTGTGAATAGTCTTGCTAATACCTATTGACATTACTGATCACTAGCACACTCTTTATTGACTGCACCCACACAGTTGAGCATAGAGGTCACCGATTAGTGCGAGGAAAAAGTGCCTACCGAAGGCCAACATCAGTTTCGCCGAACTCGTCTCTATAGGGCGTCGGTAGCTCGGTGGTGCGTCTGGCCTGTTCGGAGAAGAGGAGGACACGACCAGAGAAGAGCATGACGATGGCGTAGCCGGAGTGGAAACGCCTGGCGTGAGCCTGCATGTCGTAGACCACGGCTTCTCGGCGCGAGGAAGAGGAAGCGCCGCCATGCACGTACGTGATCTCAGCCACCTGCTCGAATCTGCGGCAGCTGTAGCAGGCAAAACATGCCACTGCACCGCAGACCAGGCAAAGGCTTGGATCCGAGTGAATGTTGCTGCCTGTGTGGACGGTCCTGGTAGAAGTTAAAAAATGACAATTGCCATGGGAATGTGATTACGAGTAGTAGGCACTGGTGATTAATGCGAAGTCATCCGTTGAGAAAGAGACTAGGAAGGCTGTTAACTCATAACAGAGGGAACGCCTTGAGTTACAAAAAACGGGAAATCCAATTAACATTTATACGACTGATTAAAGCTAAATCCGACTAAGTTGAACATACCACAGACCAACCACTGGTGCTTTCACCAAGGCTGTGCGTTTGGCAAGGAAAAAAAGGCATCTTGAGACCTTGCTTACGAATTGAAGCAGATCAACATCTTTAAATTAGTGCATTCTAAATTACTGCAGCGTGTAGAGCCGTTAGCGCACACAAGACTCAATCAGCGTTAACTGCAAGCACTGGCCAGCAATAAGGCAGGCCAGGCGAAAGAGGATTAACCGAATGTTGATATCAGAGTACTTAGCAAAAACTAGCAAAACGCAATTTTTTTAGAGTTACAACCTGATTCTTGTGCTGGAGTTTGACATAACTAAGATGCCTACTACGACAGTAATATAACAGATCCTATGTTAGTGAGGAAAAGTACAACCAAACTGATTAATCAAAAAGCGGATATAGCAATTACTGAAGTGGCCTTTAGGACATCTTTCAGTGTGGACTACGATTGCTAAGGTAGTGAAGATAAAAATACGTCTGATAAGATACTGTGCACGATAAATTTTACTGTGGTAAGCTTTTCGACTAGGCCCTACATCTGGAAACAGAATGCATGCTACTTACTTTAGTTCAGTAGCAAGTGCCATTAGGGAAACGTATTGTTTAGGCAGTTGGATCAAATGCGGGACACGAATGTGGGGCTCCGGCAGAATATGGGAGGAGCTGGCATTGGGCAAGTACTTTGGTTTCAGCCAATTCGAATAAAGCCCCCTGGAAATAGCGTTGCGACCCAGGAGACACCACGAAGTCATCAAACTAGCAAGCCAGAGGGAGCTGGATGCAGACGTCTCGTCGATTGTGGTGCAGTGGGGGGAAGCAACTGCCTCCGAGTCGGAAAGCAAAACGAGCAGGTCGGAGGGTGACTGCGAAAGTCCCAAATAGGCCAAAAGTAGACTAAATTCGCCTGAATGTAAAACAAATAATGCATTTAAGTGGCTGCAAAGAGTAAGAACAGTACACTGATGTGGAGAAAACCGATGTACTTGACGGTTTCTGGTGAGAGGGATTGCTCAAGGCCGGGGGCACATCGACGCCGGTTATTTGGTAAATTGCAAAGGCGGCGACTCGCAGAAAAGGCAGACAGTGCGCGTGGATGTGCGCGAACAGATGAGATAATGTGGCCGGTGAAGGCTGAATTGAACACACCGGGAGACCCGAAAGGTGCTGAAGACGACGGCGCACAGTCAGCAGCTGGGAAAGAGATTTGCACAGGCCCAAAGTTAAGACATGGATAAAGCACATATCGGCACAACAGTGCATAGTCATTGGGGACTGACGTAAACAATACAACAATCACAGTTAATTTAGTGAATGTATTTATGTTGGACAAGTAAAATCGAGCGAATGAGGGCCTATTTGAAGAGCACATAAGTCTAATATTTTGACAGTCTGAGTAATAAAGTTAAAAACACAACTGACTGAGAAAACTAAAAATGAAAATATGAGAAGACAGAGTTTGCAGACACTAGTTGACTAGGAAACAATCAATGAAACCGGGGTGCCACCTTACATAATTAATCTGTTTGGCACTGAATGTCAGCATTCAAGTTCAGCTCTACTTTAAAAATGTCGTGATCGCGGTTCTAGCATACAAGACTGTCGACAATGACCATGTGATTGGCAGCAAAAGCAGCCACAGGGCGCACCTTCTCATTCATCCAGAGCGGAGCACACGGATCGAGCAGAGCGGAAGAGGAGGGGGTTTGGCTCGGCCTGTCCGGTTGCCAAGAGAGGAGGGCTTGCACAAGGAGAGCCAAGTGACAGACGCGCAGGGCGAAGGCCTCATGGGCGTCGCCCATGGGAAGGCGCGGGAAGCCCTCGTCGCACATCACCGCCGGCAATCGCTCCTCCTTTTCGTCCTCGCTGTTCGCCGAATCCGGCACTGCGATGCGCTGACACTCCACCTGTTGATCAGCGCTTTCGACGCCGGGGCGCAGGAAAAGCAGGTTGAGGAAGAGGAAGGTTATGTCGACCTGAACAAAGCAAGGACAAAGCCTGGATTAAGAAGCACGAGTGCCTATGTAGCTGGTAGCGCGGTCAAGTAAGATGTTTGAGTCTTTTATCAAAGATGCATCAGTCCTTAGGCCAACACTACACTCAGTAGGAACATTATGCACATAAAGACAGTTTTTACCCATTTTAACGATCTGTCATCAACAATGGTACTGAAAAGGTGCTCCCTTTTACAATAAATACAGTAATAAGGAAGACTAGCGTGTGACTAAGTTTTTGTGCTAAGACAAACTCACCTCCCAAAGCAGACTAGCAGGCACATTGAGTGCGTCAGGCGATAGTGGAGGCTGCTCAAGCAGATGACTAGACGGCAAGGTGCCACATTCATCAACCTCCATGGCAGTGTGCTGACTGAGGTGCTGGGTGGAGGGTGGAGCGGAGGACGAGGAGCCGGCGAGGGCGTGACTGTCGGGAAGCAGGAGGCGCCACAGGCGGCCCGCGTCCTGGGTCACGGCGATTCGGGTTACATTCTCAATCAAGTAAGACGCTCTTACTGCATACGGATAGCAGCAGCCGGAGACTGCAAAAAAGTACAATTTTTCCGGATGAGGTCTCTTTAAATGTCACAAGTCCTAGCATTGTCAAGTGCCATCCCTCCGTAAGAAACGTAGTGCGTTTGCATTACGTAATTTTCCGAAAAACAAACGATTCACAACAAGCTAAGATCACATTTCTAGCCACAAGTCCAGAAATGCTTGAAAACACACAGCTACGCATGACTTCAACGAAGTTTCAGAGAGTAACAAATGTCAAAATACCTTGCTTCGGGTCTTCCGGTGCAAAGTAGCAGTACCACCACCACCAGGACGGATCATGAAGGCACCGGGACCAGGACTTCTGAGACGGCGAACTTTCAGGTCCGTAGGCGCACCTGGAAACAGGCGCTAGACGAGCGTGTGCATGAAAGGCCGCCCGCATCAAGTAGCCCAGGCCGAGCTTGTGACGATCTGCTAGGTAGCCGTTGAAGAAATTGTTGTCTGGACCCAGCTGGCGAAGACACTTAAACGAGGCAGACGTATTAGTTTAAGAAGTCAGAAAAACGCCTACTAATATCGATAGTTGTCAAGCTGGCCAACTGGTTTGTGTTTGTTTGCACCAAGCTGGATCAACATGGATAACTGGATTCGATGGTACTCTAAGGTTTCGGGATAGCTAAGATTATAATCGAAAAAGAAAAACCTACTCGCTCCCAGATGACAAGAGTGTAGGCGATTGAGTGTCTCAATGCGCGCCATTCACAGGCAGCCGCTAGAATGGCTTGAAAGCTGCGACGACGTGTGCAAACCAGTGCTGCCTTCAGGCGACTAATGGACTGCGTTAGGTGACGACCTGTTCCTGCTGTAGTTTCATCCTTCCCAGAAAGAACCATTAAGTGGGAGTAGCTGCTAACGAGGCTCGTGTGTAGCTCCTCGGCGGCTTCGGAGAGGCTCGGAGGAAGGCCACCGTCGTCCACACCTGACCCGCCGATGCTGCTGTGTCGACGATCAGCAGGAGGACGGTGCGAGAGCACTGTCTCAATAGCAGTTTCTCCACCACCACCCTCCATACCGTCATCTTCACCAAATGCCTCATCGTCACCCTCCAAGTTGGCATTTACCACCAGGTTTACGGCTTCTTGTGCGTTATTCAATGCCTGCAGGATCTCGGTAACTTAAAAAGGAATGAGAAAATCTAACGTAAATTGTCAATCGGCAGCAAGACTGCTTTGGTAATTACGACAAATGTGCACTCTGTGGCATTAGTGCGGTGGTATATCGGGTAGGCTAGCGAAAGGTGGCTACAACTTCGGCGAAAATCGATTTTCTGTCCGAAAAGGCACAAGCAACAATAAACAACTAAGGCACGAAGTGTCAATTTTTAGGCGAGAAACAAGTCTCCCGACCATGTGAGGCGCAGAAATGAAGCAATCATCGAAATCCCACAGTGTTTTGGATGGTTACTAAGCAACTTTAGAAACCTGGAACAGCAAGTGCATTTAGACTAAAAAAAATAAGCGTGGTATCTCGGTGGGAATGTCTTGAGAAGCATAGTGCGGCTAGTTTATCCAAATGAAATAGCCCCGGCTTAACCAACATACCCAAATTTCCAGACTCCAGAAATTGTGCCCTCATGGCATTTCGTTGCAGCGACTGAATCGGTTTCGGTTGGCTTATAGTTACGAGACGTTGCACAAAAGTCCAGAGATCGGCCGAAACTTTCACGGAGTCCTGTGGAGGTCGCTGTAGCAACGGAACAAATACCAGTGGAAGTGTGCTCGTTGACCGTGATGGATGAGCTGATGAATCTTCCGAGGGCACGGTTTCAGACCGACGGAGAAGGAAGCGTCGGAAGAGGCCGCGAGAGAGGCACAGACGAATTCGACGCGGGGTTGACGGCGGACGTCCATCGTCCTCTGGTTCTTCAACCTCCTCCTCGTCTTCGGCAGCTGATTCGGGGTCTGGTTTACAAAAAGCCCTCTCACAACTGGCGCAGATCTTGGCGAGCAAATCATCGCAGTGTTGGGAAAAACTATCACCGAGAGCGACGAAGAGGTTGGTAAAACTCTCTGGGGCATCTGGAAGCTAATTCAACACAAAGCTGCATTATCAACTAAACTGAGCGCTTTACTATAAAAGAGATGCCACATGAGTCATGAAAAAGTGCGCCAAAATGAGACAATTAAATGAAAGGTGAACAACAGAACTGATTTAACCACTTTACTTAGGCTGTCAAGTAAATCCAAGCTCGAAGAGTTGACACGCATACCAATCACGGCCTGACAGTGAATACAAACAGATATGTGAAAGTAACCAATGAAGGAATTGGGTAAGGAAACAATGAGTGAGCACGGGTATGGCTAAATGAGGCAGAAAAGATGCTGCACGCAACGAACCTCCGACATATTGAATGTAACTTGTTGCAACGGTGCTGAAGGCAGACATGAACAATCTTTGAGCCAAGTATGAAGTGTCTTCAACCAATTCGCAAAGTCAAAGGGCTTCTTCAGACACCTAGCGACCCAGGCCTCTGGCAGAGTGTCGTGCAGGCGTCCAAAAAGGGGCACATCGAAATTCGCCAGCGACCGACACAACGAACAGCGAAACTCGTATAGAGGAGGTTTGTTGGCGTACCTGTGTCTGAAACAAAAATCAGACCATACATATCGACTAGCAGCAAAAAAGTGTTTGCGAAAACACAGACGCTTCAAACGATCGCTGCGAATGGATCGCCCATACAAGCACATAAACACAGCTCGGCTGACCACATGATAATGTTTGCAAGGCTGTGCACTTATAGTAGCTCCCCGTGTTGCAAATAGACAAATGTACGGAAATTGAAAAATCAAGGGCGGAAATAACAGCCAGTAAGGCAAGACACCTACTGACGAGTAAGCTGTTCATTCTGGCTCTTTAATTGTGCTGCGTAGCGCTCCTTGCATCCAGCATGCATCAGATGGGGGCATGTCGATATGAATGTGCCCTCCTCTCCGACCGGACACCTACTAGACACCAACGGACGAGGGAACCAGGGGTCAAGGCTATTCGGTTTCGCCGACGGTGCCGCGTGCGATTGATTGCTGTCCGATGAGCCTACATTTGATGGAAAGAGGCCTGGTTGAGATAAACTGAGTGGAGAGGCTGCCGTAGTGAACATTTGATTAAATGTCACTTAAATGCAGTACCAAAACTTCGCTAGGTTGAGGCAATTCACTGTGAAATTACCTAAAGAATTAGGCTGACAGTGCTAACGAAATCCAACACGTGACTGCGGCGAAAGCCATTACGCTTCATTGTAGAACACTGAATTTACCTCCGTTCGTTGCTAGATAGGTTACTATGAAATTGACTAAGTATACATGCAAAACAACATTCCCTGGGTAATTAAACTGATTACCCTGCCAAGGAAAACAGAATAGCATAAATTTCCAGGATGAAATGAATGTAAGCGCCGAACGTAACATAATCACGGTCAGAAAAAAAGTTCATTGCCGAATGCCGATAAAAAAGGGTGATTTAAGTTATGGCAGTATTAGCGGCATAGAAGATAAAAAGTGGTTTTGCAATATACATTTTCAAAACAGCGATGAAACGCGTGCAAACAGAAAAGCCCACCTGATGGTTTGGTTGGCGAGGCATCCTCTCCAGCGGCATTAACTCCGCAGACCAAACGTGGAAGTTGGGTCATGTTGCTTTCGTTACTTCCCAGCGATGCAGCGACCGCAGTTGTAGCGATGGCAGCCAGATTATATTCAGACTAGAACGAAGAGGTTTTATTTGCTTTTCTTATAAAAAAATAACTGGAAAATTGCATTTGTCGATAACGAGTGTCTTAGAGTTGCAATGGTAAAGACGACAGACCAGAACCCGACCAATGAGACTTCACAAGGAAATCCTTGGGAGGCCACACGAATGCGCGTTAGTGACACTCCAAACACTCAAAATTAAGTTTACCTTCCACGTAATAAGCAGCGTTTCATTATGTCTTATTTTAAGTCTAAGGGATGACATCACCTAGAAAATGGTCGACTGGTGTGACGAAACGGCTGGTCTTCAGTGCTTAATTGATATTGTATCAACCATTAATTAAACCAAACCGATTCCATTGAGATTTTAATAGGAAGTATTATCGGTTTTTAAGAGTTCTAGCTCACGCTAATCGTAGTCACCTAAGGGAATGCTATCAAATACATTTACAAAAACGTGATATTAATTTAGATTACAAATAGCACATTCTAGAAGGTGCTGGTTAACATTGTAACAGTTTCCACCACTTACGCAGTCCGACTGACAGGTCTCGTTAACAAAATCCACGGCTTCTCCGTGAAAGAGAGGCATGGAGAGGACATTGGACCGACAACCGTAGGCAGCGACCACCACATTGTGTTTATCGCTCTCCGGAATCTCCTCCTGTTAGTGCAAGAGAGTTAACAATCACAGTTTTGCTACAAAAAACCACCATGGTGGGTTTCAAATCAACAGTAAACTGTACGTTGTTACTCTGGCACTATAGCGTTACCAACGAATGTTTCAAACTATTGACCGCTAGCATATCATCAGTAATCGTGGTGAAAGAGGTTAGTCTAACTTTAAACAAAACACTTATTAAACCCACCAGACAGAGTACGCAGGTCACCGTGGTTTTGACTTTCTCCTCGAGTTGACACCGCCTTTCTTCGAAGCGATGAGGACCCATGGCACTGAACAGCGCCACAGCACGGTCAGAACTGTCCTCCAGGGTGGACGGATGACTGGTTGAGCTGGCAGATCCAGGAGGAGGCGTGGTGTCCTTGAGAATAATGAAATAACTTGTCACAAGACAAGAGTAAAAGAATGCTGCCAATATAAACTGTAAAACATTCACAGACATAAAAGACACTTGGAGGTCTTAATGATTACCATCGGCGTATCGTTCTCTTCGACGTTCGACATTTCCTGGCAGTGAGCTTCTAAGAACTTCCGCTGCATCTCCGACATCTTATCCAGGATTTTGGCCTGGCGCTGGCGCTTAGCCTCCAGCTTTCGTTGCTTTTCTGACGTTGGCGAATCCTGCAACGGAGATTGCACCGTAAAGGCCGTAATTAAAAACATCTGTTAGGAAGGGGCTGGACTCTGAAGACAGGCTTAAGCTATGAAGCAGCCAGTTACACAGCAAAGATACCCTCGCACCTGTTGCCAATTTTTGCAGATGGCTGAGATTAGTACTTTTGATGAAGAAAACGGCACGTTAATAAACCTAAGGTGGGCCATTTGTCTAAGGGGAAGTCGTTTGATTTAGAGAAAGTATCTTTCAAAGCCCTTTGAAGTGCAAAATCATTGGCGCATTAATGCCTAGCACATTCGGCTTGAAATCAGGAAGCACTGATGTAAAAAGTAGAAAAGTGTAGGGGATGATGGCAGTTTGCCCAAACTAAAGCGGACTTCACTCCCACGTCCTGTTAATTGAAATCAGCATACAGTTACAAATTAAGCGAACCCTACGTCACTGAAATTCAAGAACTGGAAATAGGAAGTTGGCAAAAATCGACAAAGATAGGCGAGAGACTAGAAGCGAGAGACTAGGAAGTTGGCAAAAATCGACAAAGATAGGCGAGAGACTAGAAGCAGTTTGCTCTGTCGAACTCACAATCTGCAAACACTCGGGCAATAATAATAATAATCACAGGCGAGATGGCTACACCAAATAAGAAATCGGGTTTTGTTGGATGCGCGAAACCGGTGAAGGTTTATGCAAATCAACTCACCACATTTTTGACCTCTACGACACCAGCAAAAGCCTCGTCGTGGGGTTTCGCGACAACGTCGTCCCACAACTTGAGGGTCCACCTGAACAAAAATGTGTCACATTCAGGCCACGTAGGCATGCAAACAAACGACTAAGCACAGAACACAACTTACCTCAGTAAATCCGCATGAGGGCTTTCCTCTTGTCTTTCCAAAAGTGACGTTAGTCGCGGAACTATGCAGTTACTGGAATGAAAAAAAAACTTTTGATCAGAAGGTCATAAAACAACGACAGCTAAAGACTTCAGTGGGGTTTCATCACATGATTTTTACGGATCCAAGGGAATACATGGCTGTTTATTGTAAGTCCCAGACAATGAGCGAATTCAATGGCATGTAAGGAATGTCGGCTACGCGCACACTCGCCTTGTGTTTGATAAAAAAGCCTGCGTCAGAAATTAACGCAAGTACCTAAAACGTTTAGCTAAATTAACGACTATGAAGACAGCAGACTGTCAAGAGGCGTGCCCACTAGGCTAAATAGAATATGAAATGGGGATGTAAGGGGTGTTTGGCCTGGAAAGCGAAAATACGGTATGAAAACAGCCCGAAGACACCAATACAATAAAGAGAAAATATGTTACTGAAATGAACTGAATTTTTTGCAGCTTGACTTAAACACAAGGAAAACAAGGCCAATTCACGTTGAGACCCAGTCTCGGTAGTAAGGAACAAAACTGAGCTGCTTATGATAGATATGCATATGATGGATAGCGAATTCCAACCGGAAACCATGTCACCACAGTTGAAAGAGGTTAGTGGTGGTGGCGATGGTCGCTACCTACGGTTGTCGGTCCAATGTCCTCTCTATGCTTCTCTTTCACGGACAAGCCGTGGATTTTGTTAAAAGTTAGACTAACCCGTGCATTCGCTATAGGTCACAGTTAACGATGCCTTTAAGACAAAGGCACTCTGTGAATTACCGACGCAGATGTTTATCATGGCCGTCTGTCAAGACGATGAGCAGAGATAAAGATGGAGATTTACTTGGTTGGGGATGATGAGCTTGGTGATGCTGGTGTCTGTTGTTTGGTCCAGTGTCGAGAGGCAGCCAGATTTTCCAGTTCGGCGTCAGACTCCGCCGTATTTGGAACACGGGAAACAACATCGAGAAACGGCTTTTCGCCTTTCTCGCTGCAAACAAATTAAATATGAAACATAGACAGGTGACTAGGTGGAAACACAATTGATAGAAGTCACAACTAATGTAAAAACAAACAGATTCAATTGGACCACCCTCACCCACAAAAAAGTAACGTTTCACTCATTTGGTAACTAACGCTCCAAACGAGAGTCTAAATCATTGCAGTCGTGTTTCGCAGGTAACTAGTCTGTGTTACGTACTAGATTACACCACATATGAGAACAGCCTTTTATAAAATAAACTAATAGAAGTGGACACTGATATCAACATGTTCGAGTGAGGCAGTACCATGCCTAGCCTTATTTTTCATATTCTAGGGATGTAAAATGCTGATATATCTCTAGCAAACCTTACTGGACGAAAAAACGGCGCAAAAAAGGTATGTAAGGCTTCTACGTTGATTTCAAGAATCAAGCGTAAAGTACAACATCCTTAGGTCGGGTTAAGGCTATGAAGGAGCACTTAAGTAGTTGACTAGTTATTTAAACCAGTGATCTTAAGTGTTCACACACACGCGCGCACCCCCGTGCACCTCGACGCGAAACCGTGGCGGAGGAGGTGGCGTTAGCGCACTTTGACGGCGATTCGCCGTCACCGTTTTCCAAAATTAGAGATACTTAAGATCACTGGCAACACGACACGATCGCAACCACATGACTTACTCTCTGGTGCAGCCTCAAAAAATACAAACCAGGAGGCAAATTAAAAAACCGAACTCTGTCAGAAGACAGTGGGCATGACCGCGCGAACGACTATATTTGTATTCTTGAAGCAGAACGCGCATGTGATCACACAAGATTTGGATTAAGTAAAAGTGAATCAAGCAACTTGGTTATTTTTTATGCAATCTAGTGCATAATTTGACTTACGCAAAAGTAATCGCATCTTCGTAGAGAGCTACAATGATAAGATGGAGCACCAGTTCGTTAATAGTTTCCGACCACCACGACTGTACGCGGCCGTAGGACAGCTCCGCATCCAAGAGGCGGCGAACGAGTCGGACAAAGGTGGTGCAGCGCACCAGCTGCAACAGGGGCTTTTCCATGGGTCGAACGAAGCGGCGACGCGGGCGGGGCGGAGGCGGGGGAACGGGCAGGCCCCGACACCGCAGTGCCACCGGGTTGCCCGGCTCCTGGAGCCACTTCTTTAAGACACGCGCCACATTCTCCTCGGCCTGAAACGCACAGGACAACTGGTTAATGACTGCGTCGTGGCGCACTGCTTCGGCATTGAACATTTAAAAAAAGAGATTGTGCTAAGGTAAAAAACGAAGACATAAGGGCAGGGCATGAACTGAGGACGCATGATAAATGCAATTTAGTTTGTACACCCGTATTCTTAAAAACGGTCCGATATACACGAAAATCAAGAAAACAAGAGAGTAGTCAGGAAACTACTACAGTAGAAATACCCACAGAAGCGTCCACAATGAGCCTAAAATCATAGAAGCGCCAAATAACGGCACATATTTACATATATACGTAATCCATCATAAGCCAAAACGACTTCTTAATTGGGATATTAATGGAACTGAACAAATGACAAAATTATAAGAAATTAGACATAAACAAAAACTCCAAACAAATAAAAACTGTGGAAGAATAAATTAACAGCAATTTCTTCATCACATTATACAGTCCAGCTTCATCTCAGCAATCATGCGTACTACCTAAAATTATTTGTGAACGGTTCGTTTTCGAAAAAGGCGATCACAAATCAAAAATGCATATGTTTAATTGAATTCAGAACCGACGCGTTGGAATTCACGACACTCCCATTCCTCAGTACTTTGCGTTTGTTCAGACAACACTATAACGACTGATGTTCTCATGGTTGGATCGTTGAACTCGTGTTATTGGGTGTACGCAGCTACCCAGATGAGAATTTTGTTTAGAGACCAAGGAGAACATGAATGATTCATTTGTTATTACGCAACACAAAAACGCTTAAACTTAAGCTTATATAACTTGTTCTCTTGATACCATTTGATACGAATGTCCACGTTCGGTGGTGATATCCCACAACCTACCCCACACGTTCGCCACATTAATGATCTCTCGAAAGTCAAAACGCCGATTCGTCGTACACCTACCTATTTTTAACTCGGGACAAAACAGTCATACAATAAATGACTTTTGCTGAAAATGCCAAGGATTTAGGAACGTTTTTCCTTTGAACGACGTAGCATGGCATTAAATTTGATTTCAACGCCTGAACTAACGTTTTAACTGGATTTTACTGTAACTAGTAATTTAACCACTTAACCCTCGAACAATCACTTTAAACGTGGCTCCATAAATGCCTTCCAGTCAAAGGCGTGAGCGTAAATTATTAGTTTTTGTGAGTTTACAGGCATATTTGTGAAATAATTGAGTATTTTTGCGTTGCCTATAAAGCAAACAATTCGTTGATTAACACAAGGAAGCGAAAAAATCATATAGTAACAAATAAATCCCTACCGCTTACGAATACAGTAATTTAATGTCTTTTAATTTTCTAACAGCAATCCTCATCCTACTACACTCAGGTACTACCTATCAAACCAATGTGTAACGCCAGCTCATGCATTTAAAAACGATCCACTGCGTTTTCCTATTACTCATTACTTTCTACACGGAATTCTTGTCATTTTTGAGATAGCCATGATACATATAACCACATGAGCAAAAGACGCGCTGAAACACAACGAGAACATCTAGGAGAAAACGAAGTGTAGAAAATGTACTCACCACTGTCTGATCAGTGTGCTTGTAACCCGGATAGAATCGATTAAATCGGCTCAATATCACTTCGGGCTTGATCGAAAACACCTGCTTAGAACCGGATGTCGCGGGGGTGGCAATCTGTTGAAGAATTTTCGCCAGCGGCCGCTCAATCGTGTCCTTTCGACTGCCCCTCATATTCAAGCGAGTGTCTTCCTCTGAGTTGGAGGGCTGGTAGGGTGGAGGCTTCCGCAAGACGCACCCAGGCGGTTGGTGTGGCAGAGCCGAAAACAACTCCGAGTGAGTCATCGCTTTGGTGCATAGTGCATGAACGACGTCATCGATCAATTGGCCGTAGTTTGCCTCCAAATATTCGTCGATTTCATTTAGCTTTTCGGGAAAGAGATTTAGGGAGGAGGGTGTGGAAGACACAATAAGGGGGTCGAAGTACCCAACTCCATCACGAGACCGATGAGTCACCAGGTAGAGAATTGTGCGAAGAAGAGCCTCAACAAACTGGACAGTCCCGGGTTTGACGTGGGATAGTTCCCCGCTGAAATACGAATCACGAGATAGAAATTGATAAAAAGAAAAAAAACATCTTGCAGTTTCATGACATGCAAGCATGCCAAAAATGCCATATCACAGCATCTGTGTCTACTACTAAATCAACTGACATTGATTTCAGATCACACATAATGAAAGTGCATTTTCACAAAGCCACTGGAGAAAAACATAAAATACAGCAATGAAAAGTATAAAAAAATTAATGCCCGATTTCAAAGTGATGATGAACTTCGCAAATTCACGTGGTCTAGCCAACTCACGGTTGACAGGCCAAACAGAACGCGTAAACTTTGTTTCGACAGAGGGGCGGATTAACGAAGCTCAAAATTAATATGAATAATTTACATTTAAATAAGATCTTTTTCACTACTCGGAAGTCAGTCTATAACTGGGGGCGAATTATGCTTGGCATTCAAGTGAGAAAGTGATTAGGGGAAGGTAGACAGGCGACAAGAGGGCAGCACAATTACCACATGAACTCGTGCAGATTCAGTTTGTGGATCATTCGCACGATGAGCTCATCCGCGGGCAGAACAGTGGCAGCCTGCTGCAGGAGCTGGTAATTTCGATCGACCATCTCCACACGGAGTCCGTTGTACATGTTGTAGATCTGAGAAAAAAAAATAATTCACCAGTGAAATAAGGTGAGGGCTGCACAAAAAGAGAGCACAATGCTTCAAAAAGGCAAGCTTACAATGTTCTCCACAATCAGGCCATTTCGAACCCAGAAATTTGCTGAACACTGGGCAACGAATGAAATAGTTTGAAGAGGGCGCTCAATAATGAGGTTGGCGAATCCCTGTGGAGCAAAAAAACTCACACTAAATGCGATCGTCAAATAACACTGTACAAAAAAAGCTTTTTGTGGAACTTGAAGGTTTTAACCCTAAGGGCTTAAACTCATCAAAAAAGACATGGATGATTACTAAGTCCACGAGGCTAATTTGTTACAAATTTGGAAGGAGCACACCAATATGGGTGTGACCGAGACATTACTGACGGTTCATCCAAGTGAGGCGCTCGAACTGCGCGAAATGGACCACGACGACTGAAAGCAGTCTTGTTGCCGGCACGTCAAATATCGGTTCAGTCCCATCGGGCCACAAAAAGGGGTGAAACAATAACCTGCTTGAGGACATCATCCATTACAAGTAGCATTTCAACACAAGGGTTATAACAGATCCATTGGGATAGAAATTGGGATGCGAACACACACAGTTTCGCAGAAGGCGCCATTGTTTTGAAGCACTAAGAAGGAAGCAATGGTGCATTCACATGCCTTGTGCAGCGGCCACACCGGCGGCGATTTGAATGAAATCACCGAAACACCAACTGACTTGAGACTCCCAGAAAGAAGAAAACACTTGCCTGCTAGACAAAAGAATCATGCTAAAACCGTCTGGGGCAATGATATCTAACTTGGGCGTGAATTTAAACAATCTGACACCAACTTTCGTGGCGTCAAGTATGATCCAGAACAAACTACCATGGTTAGCATATCCTAAAGTGGGCAGGATTAGTTAATTCCTGCTTACCGACGCGAGACAACTTGTGACACTGACAACATCGACACCAAAAAATACACCTGCAAGACGTAGCGTCAAATTAGTTTTACTACATGCCACATCGTTGCGAATTTACCAGCTTGAATTATAAAGAGTAATCGTGTTTGTTGAATGTAATGATAGTTTTAAAATGAAAAAAAATGGTCAAAATGTTGCAAAGAGCATATGAATTTAAGGGCATTGATCAAAAAGAGGCGTATTCCGTCAAGAATCTGCAACGCGTGAGGTAGAGGTGAGAGCCACATTTGGGTTGCATACAATCGTTTAAAGAAGGCAAGCCAAAAAAAGAATCATTCTGTACACTTAGACACATTGCCGGAAATCTGAAGGCGTTTACATCCAGATCCCGACAATAAGCCTCCCATTTTCTTTGATGACGACAATAGGGAAGCTTTAAATAAGCAAAAGGTTTAAACAACAGTGGTTACAGCCTTACATGCTCCTTACTACTAATTCAACGAAACACCAGCACGGCAGTCATAAAAAGTCATTGTAAGAGGAGAACTCATTACACAAGGATAAATCAATTGATTTGGTGCAACTAAAAGGTCAACTCTAAACCGGATTTAAGAGCGAGGGCAGCATTTCATCAATAAAACCAACCTGACAGGGATTAAGGCAGAACGCAAAAGAGGATGCAATGGATACCACATCAATCCAGGTACAACTTAGTGTATGTAAGAAGCGGCGAATTCCCACTGGCAATACCGACAGCTTGTTCAAAGAAAATCAACGTAACAGGAAGAAACGAAACGTCCATTTCCTCAGTAATAAATAAGCCTGGTCTCACCAGCTGTATCATAATTATACATGTGGCAGTCTGTTCAAAAAATGTTATTTGCCACAAGATTAGGCCATATAGTTAGATGCATGTGAGCGGTTGAAGTGGGGTTTAATTCTGAGCAACCCACCTCATCAGCAAGGCCAACCTGAACTGGTGAGAGACCCATCTCAAGAGCGTGGCCATAGAGAGCGGCGAGGAGTCGTGGAAGCGGCTGCATCACACTGACGCGGAACGCTGAGACATCGTACTCGTATATCTCCGAAGTGGCACCCAAACACTGCACCGTCAAACCGTTGATACCTTCTGAAGAGGCGTAGGGTCCATCGAAGGGCTTGACACGGAAACAGCGATCAAACAGGCCAACGCGCTTCTCATAGGCCTAAAAAGAGATCACAAACGCCAGCGGGCCATGAATATATATGGGATGGTTACGGAACAAAATTTACCATAACTACAATTGCGTTCGCTTGTTGATATTTCTACTGAAGAACATATGAATTCCAAACTTGGTTGATTTTAAATGAGAAAACTACACATTCGATCCCTTTATGATGCCTTTGACTAGAATAATTGCATCACTCAGATGGTGGTCAAGAGTAACAAACAAGCGATCATCAAATTAGGAATAGCGGTAACGCACTTCTCGGGTTTCCTTGATAGCCTCAATGAGGAGAACTCGATCTGAGCTGGCGACTTGGACGGTGAGATTTAGTACGTAGATCAGATGAGACATCATCTTGAAGGTGCTTATCCACTCCTGTTCAATCTCCACATGAATCCGAACTGCTCGTTGCATACCATTCATATCCTCAAATAAAAACAACAATTAGAGGTTAGCCCTGGGTTTCAGTGAATGAAGACGTGATCGACGCTTCTTCAGTGTAAACAGTGAACTGAAGAAAATATCGGTGGAAATTTGCCCCATCTGTAAGTAGGGAACAAGAGGAGAAAAATGAGAGTGGCATTTTTACGAACAAATTTGTACTTTAAATTAACGATGCGGCATGGTGTTACAGAACTGTACACTAATACCGTCGATTTTTTTCTAGTTCGATACTATGAAGGATTTGGATTTGCACATATTTGCCTTTTGATTGCGACAGGTAAATATTTTTAAGACAAATAATTTTGTGAGGTCCGCTTTGTTACACTAAAAGCATTCATAAGTAATCTTCTTAGTTTATTACCTTTTTTTCAATTTTAATGTACTTATTCAATTAACCATGTCGTTGGTACTTCATTACCAAAAAAACCAAATGCCATGTCAGCTATTGACATTTTAACAGGCTTAGCAACTACTTGTGTGGTTGTTCGTCAACTAAGTAGGACCATAGAAAATTATTCGACGTGTGTACGGAGGCACAAGAATATCACATATGTAAAAAAAACAGTGCTCCCTTTTGATGATCAAATCAGGCCATGAACTTAATTTGATGGAGAGGTTTCATCAGGAAAAACTATCGCTGAGTTTGACAGATCAACTGCATTGAAGGAATTTAAGCATCAAGACCCGTAGGGGTTGGTAGAGGGTACGACGCATTGAGAACTGTGCAAAAACACTGCATGCACTCCAACCCAAGTTGGATGCTGCAAAAGGCATAAACACACCTGCAGGTTGCCCAGCATCTCGAGCAGAGTTCGGAAGAATACCATGAAGTTCTTTCTGGCGTTGACGCCCCACCAACTCGACGGGCATTTCGACGACTCGCCCGCTAGGGGTCGCACATTCAGCAGACTCGTGAGAACGTAACGCAAGTCGTAGGTCGTGTGGAGGATGCGCTCGAAGGGGCAGAACTCGGGCCTCTCGTCGGGCACGTGGCGCCAAACGAAGGCCCTCGGTTCGGCCTCGCCGCTCGTCAGGGCCTCGTGGGCGCGCGCCCAGGCCTGGGGGTTGGCGCTGCGCAGGGCGCGAAGGCGAGTCTCGAACACCGAGGGCAGGGCCGGCAACTTGGGCGAGAGTAGGCTGGCCAGTGTGATGTTTGAGTGCGAAACCTCGTAAAACGCTGGCAGTGGTTGGCTGTTGTGGGCAACTGTGCGTGCGAGTCGCGAGAGGATACGTTGGAGAACACTGTGGTGCTGTAGCAACTGTCGAGCCTGTAAGGTGAACATTTAAAATCCTCCTTTTGCACTCACCACCGAACACTACCCATGCTGGATATCTACTCCTTTCTGCAAGCTTTTGTACAGAAAGGCGTAGTTCATTGTATAATCTACAGACAAGCAAGTACCACCCCTTAGTCAGGCTCTCGTCTTCGTCCAACTAACTGCAGCTAAGCCGATTTAAAAGAAAGGCTAGCTTTGTTTAGGGACATAGTCTGTTCTACAATTTAAAATGTCTCAATTCTGCAGGTCGAATCACTAGCCAGAGATGGGATCACACTATCGTAAAGGCTGAGATGGCCTAAGACACTCCAACTTAAAAGTCGTTGAAGAAATAAAATATTTTAAAACTGCTGGATATGTGTGTTCAGAGAACAAAGTTTAGGTCAGAAATTGTTTAATTGCATAACTTCCCTCCTAATTCCTATGGAAAGAAATTACATGAGCAAAAAGAACGCGATTCTCGGAAATTAGTCAGTTTTGTCTAAGAGTACGTGCCTGTCCCCAATAAAAGTCATTCGAAGAGTGTTTCAAGCAAATTACCAAGTTAGCAGATAAATGTTTCGGAATCCAGAGTGAAAGAATTTAACATAACGATGAAATATTTTAATTCAAGTACAATTTTTTGACAAGTGACAGTACGTTACAAAGATGACCATAGACACTTTGGTGGGACTACGGGGGGTTAAATTAGATGTGAATTCAGTGTCATTGATGAAACCACTATCGCCCACGATAATTTAAATAAAGTTTAAATTCGAGTAGCTGATAGAAAATCCTGTTGCGAAAAATATCAGAAGTTTAGGTTCCTGTGTTTACAGTTATTTGCAGACCATATTGCGAAAATAAGCCTGCGTTGGCTATTTAGGCCCCAGGGTTTACGTGAAACGCTGAGAGTGGTAAAGCCAACTTACAGGATCCCCAACAAAAACATTAAAAAAATAAGAGGTATACTAGTAGAGGCGTTTAGTGCACGTTGCAAACAACTTACCAAACTGATAACGGTGTAGAATTGGCAAGTCAAAGCAAAGAGATTGTCGGCCTCTAGATGATCATCATAAATGTAGGCTTGACAGATAGTCTCGAAGTGCTAAAAGAGGAGGAATGGGTCTCCAGTAAATGCACACTTTTACGTTCCATTTCCTTAAAAAGACTTGTCGCCAACTCACTCGAGTAAATTCAATCGAAAATATTCGTCTGTGATAGGGCTCCTGAAGAAAAACCCCAGCGATCAGTCGAGAGGCCGTTTTTCGAACACCTTAAAGTAAATAACATTCCAAATCAGTTAGTTTTGAAGCCATTAGAAAGCAAGTGTGGATATTTCAACTGTGAGGTGGGTTTCTTGGCGCGCCGAACCCAATAAGCCATCCGCCGCGGCATGCATCGATGTCATAGTGAGGCACCACGAGCTGTACCACTTTTCCGAGATTCGAAATTTCAAGTCATCTGCAATCCTTTCGGAAGCCTTTTTAAACCAAACAGGCCGCACCCAAATACAGACAAATTGATAATGGGAACCGCTTGTTCACCCGCATTAAACCCACCTGGGCATCCACTTCTAAGGTCGCATTTTAAAGGTACTTTAATTGCACTAGACACAAACTTGCAGCGCGGTCTCAGGAGCAGCCCACGAAAGTCATTAATGGAAGAAACACACCACAAAAGTCAATTATATTTATTTAGAATGCAAATATTCATTAATCTGGGTGTGTGTGGCTTTGTCTGGAGAGCGGTGAGAGGAGATCCCAGCATTTCAAAACAATCGCGTGCGTGCCACGACTCGCATCGTTTGAGACCAAAAGGTTAGCAAGGTTTCAACTGAATTAAAATTGCAATGCCCGTTTGCTTTATGAGCAGCGAGGCACCTCTTACTTTGCTAAAACGTCAATACTCCAGCTATTTCAAACGACAAATACTTTCGTTATAGTGTTAACGGATTGCCAGTGGAATGAATTTCGACTCAACAGACAAGGTTGAACACAAAATTGAGCACGAACATCTCTGTCATCTACGTTGAAATTTAGGAACTTAATGAGGTTTCCGCCGTGATATCCCAAATTCACTGCTGAATATCGTATGTAATTACCCGACGGTCTGAAAAAGCATTACGATTTCACTGACGCGCCTTAAAAGGTCCAGGTAAACGCCATGCCATCAGAAAAAAGCAAGTCTCAAAGCAATGCACGAAGTTGCCTTTATTCCGGCTAACCATTCAACACAACTTCAATCATACGGATATAAACACATTGCTGGAAGCCTTAGTGATCAAGGCCATCCATCTACGGTTCCGCGTTGAAAGCTCAAAGGTAAAGGGAATCACAAACGACAACAGTAGATCTCAAATAACATTCCAGGGTAACTTTTTAAGTTAAAGGATGACATTCTCACCGGAAAACTACTGCGACTAAATCCAGCACAGATAAACGCTTCGATGAAACTGATAATATTAATGTAAAGTTATTTTTCCTAAACCACGACCTATCAAACCAGTTAATAAATTTACTGACAAAACCTAATTTCAAACAGACTAAAGTACCTCTATGTGAAAGAGTAAATCGTTCCAAAATATGCGCTAAAAGACAGTTGGGAAGCATCATTTCTCCAGGCAAACGGATAACCTCAGCGGCCTCGCTGGTCGTCAATGCAAAGCGTCCAAGAATCGCGTTGCAGATGAGGGGACGCAGGGCGTGGACACTCGAGGCCAGACGCTGGAGCCAACGGAGGACAGAAACAAAGAAACTTTCTAGGGCGTAGACTCGGTGATCCATTGCTGATGATCGCAAGGGACGAATCATGTGGCGTGTTGACGCAGAATGCTAAGGAATAAAACGGTGCGAGTAAAGAAAAAACCGATGTCACGGCGCCAGCGGTACTTAAAATATCTACATGCACTATACCTATTACCAGGACTACGTTGGAAGCCGATCGCATGACCGTTTAATGCCTACTCTCGTCAGTCTTGTGACTTCACCTTGACACGGCGGGCGGCAAGTATGTCCACGTCCCCCTATTTCCTTTTAACGTTAACCCAGCGACCACTTCAAAATCATGAGGAAAATGCCAAGTCGATAAAGGAAAACAAAGTCATCCACGATGAAAAAGAACTAATGATTAGCAATATTGTCGTCAGTTTGCAAATCAAGAATAAATAGATTGGTGATTTGAACAAATCGAAATACAGAGGTGAACAATCACAAGCCGACTTTCATCTGTGGCAATCAGTACGCGAACACTCCTACTAGAGATGGGCAAAGGTGGAGTCAATTCATTATCTCAAGTTCACATTACGTCCAGAGTTTGAATGTCACACATTTCTGGTTAAAATGACGTCTTGTCAAGCAAAACCGCGGCTCCCCCACTAACTCAATAAAAGGGTCGAGACCCTGTCATTTCTGTCGCATTTCTACCTTGAGTACTTTGTGACGCATCTTACCGAAACAAATAGCTGATCCCGGCATGGGCATTCCTTAATCGCAACTTTCTCACCCAATTTTCTAATTGCCTGACGTAGCAGATGTTGTTAAAGAATCGACCGAGCCGTCTTGCATTCCCGACTTAAAGCCAGTTAGCAAGTGCACACATCCTTGAGAGTGAATAAGCCCAAGCTTTCTAACACATTGGAAAGGAACCCGGATTAATTGAAATTTGCAATTATAGCCACTTCGTCCAGGTATTCGGGAAGCGGAATTTACGATGATCTACCTGCGCAACGACGTTTAAAGGCAAATTACAAGTCTTCTTCACGTTCTCATTATAGAAACCGTTGCCAGCACCACCAAACCTTCGGGAGTAAGGCCCTGCAGTCCAGGCTACCATGAACTCATGGTACTTCACCCTCCCGCAAAATGATTGGGAAAGAAGAATGACCGACAATAGAGACAGCTTCTATCAATGGATACTGGAGCCACTGATTTTTTGTTTATGATGCATCAACTACTATCCGATTCCCGATCGATTCAGGTGCTGGCGTATTAATTTTTCCAACAACGACCTTCAGGAAAACGTGCGTATAACCCATCTTGCGTATTCTCAATGGCAAGTGGCTCAACATACGGCCAGAAATTCCTGATGCTCGATCGTGGATTGCGTCTTCAGTTTTGTTGGACCTTCACTTACGCAATCATCGACCCCGGACAACTGAACCACCTTGGTCTCTTTGTCAGCCTTAAAATCTAGAGACTTATAAATCCTCTAGCCAACTTTGGAGGCAAATGCCCATTACCCCGAACATCGATAGTTACTCATTTTACGAAAGTGCAGATCGACACTGGGCCTTACTGAACGCTGATGCGAAAACATCCAGACCTTTTTAGCTCAACCCACAGCCAGGCCGAAACTTAGCACTCGGTCAGGCATAAAGTTCTGACAAATGTTGGTCCCGTTAGTGCCCGAATACAGTGACTTTCTCCCAGCAAACACTAGACGGCTAAACGAGTTTAACCAAATGTTGCAGCTTGGGATAGTCCAACGATCGGACAGTGACTTGTCATCAGCGCTACACATGGTTCCCAAGACGGGCGTCGGTGAGTGACGTCGTTACGGTGATTATTGTGTTTTAAATGCAATCACTAGTCATGATCGCCACCCTATAATAAATCGGCACGATTTTCGCTTGAAATACATGGAAAATCTATGGTTTTCACATTAGATTTGGTGATAACGCAGTATCAGATTCCTGTAGAACCCCCTGACATTTCAAAGACGGCTATAGCAACGTCATCAGATTTGTTTGAATTAGTGCACATGTGTTTCGGCTTATGAAATGCAGCTCAACTTTCCCAGAGGTTCATTTACAATTTGTTATCTGGTTCGAATTTGTTTTTTTTTCCGTTTATCGACGACGTTTTCATAGCCAGCAAGGATCAAGAAGAGTTAAACCTAAATGAGTGAATATAGTTTAAATACCAATCCGTCAAAGTGCGTGTTCGGCATTTCAGGACTCGAATTTCTAGAATACACAGTCTTCACACCCGATTTAAGGTCTGCTAACACCAAAAGAATCACAATCACTCGGACTCGAATTCTATCAAGCCGCTTCGCCCTTTTTGGGGCGTTACCCGCTTCTACCGCAAATTCCTACCAAAAACAACGCAAACTATTCTGCTGCCGACGAAATTGCTCAAAGGTGGCTTCAAAAAACTACCATTGCAGCAAACACCACCTCACCGATGTGCCTCTTGTAGCAGCTGGCACAGTTCTACTGCAAATCGTAGACTGCCTTGGGTACTGCGACAAGGCATTCAAACAATTCGGACGCACCAACCAGATTACCATTTTGAAAGCAATGTGCGCTTCCAGGGTACACTGCAACGATGGGTTAAGAAAAAGTAAACTAAGAATGAGCGACTGAGCCAAACGGACCGTACAAGCGCCGAGAAATTTAGTAGAACAACATAAGTGCGACTGTACCATAGCGGTCTTTAAACAACACTATGACACGACTAGATTTAAAAACGATTCTTGTTAATTAATGTATCACTTTGAAGTGTGATTTCATGCTTATTTAATTCCTCGTCTCAAGAATCAGGCTTTAGTCCTGCGCCAAGTAAATATGGCGGCATATAGCCATCTCGCAAGACCCCTATCCTCGCCAGTTATGTGAAGCACCCTTATAGGTGACCTCGTCGCCTTGGTTTTCAGGTGAAACGGCTGATAGTTAAGTGGGCCGTATCTTGGTCATCACCTGAATCCCCTCCTTTGTTGATCACTTACTTTATTTGACAGCTGAGGCAAAGGCTGGCCCTAGTCTACTCACTACAGACGTCCAGACAAAAACCTCGGAAAACGCCTTCGAGCCACCCCGTTTTATACTGCGACGTCAAACATACCAAAGCGTTTAGCTGCTCCTGTTGTATTGTTTCGTGTTACGTTTGTTCTCCCGTAAAGTAGTTGACCATAGCAAAAAACCCCAAACGCCTGTTACAATAAAAACTGTTTGCTGTTGTGTTTTACCAGTATTTCTTCTTCGAGGCCACATCTTTGCAACAGTGAAGGTGAAAGAATGCGTGCTTCACTTTTGAACAAGATAATGTGGTATGGTTGTGATCTGAGGATTTGATATAATGATGACTTTCATCATCGACACATTTGAGCCCAGTATAAAAGATACGCCACCGCAACGTCGTGTTAGAAATGACGGATTCACGGGCTCACACTACTTGCAACGGAATTCACATGCTTACCGCCCCAATGGTTGAATGCTGTGCGTTTACATTGAAAGTGGTATTGTCGATACCAGGAGCCAAAATAATTGGAGCATTTGTGATGGGAACGAGGGTCGTAGGCCGAGATCAACTTCTACAGCAAGCCAATATTCTCTGGGTCTTATTATCAAACTACTGGATTAAAGTGTCAAACGCGCCACAAGGCCAAGAGACCACCTTGCTTCAACCGGCAATTACAGGAACAAAGTCTTAAAGATATTTGCTTCTATTTAAGTAGAATCCAAACAAGACATGACTCGTGTTTTGGAGGCCACGTTAAGCGACCCGAGAGCAATTGGCTCGATTGGGTCATTGGAAGACATTACTGTAGGCCAAGGGAACTTACCGAAACTCGAGCAGCTTTTTCGCAGGCGCTCTGGCGAGTCAGATGTGTTAAAAGCGGTGTCCTCCCGTCGCGGTTAACGATGATGGCAAACAGAGTCGCCTGCTTAGCGGTGCAACCGTCTAGGCGACGAACCGTTTTGATAACCTAATAGGGGAAAAACAAAGAAAGCTGAGAGGACGCTAGGCACAGTAAAGACCACGGATCATGCATAAAACAGAGTTTTAAACACTGAAAATAAAGCAGACTGTGAGCTAATGATTAAAATAACTGAAGGTGCACTTAATCACCAATTTTCTATAAATTGACTCTCGTTTCTTGACATGTTTGCCATTGACATGGATTAAATAACTCAGGAGGTGTCGTGGCTACTGGGATACGCCGCATCAGCTATTTAAGAACCCATGAAGCCCTGGGCTACATAGGCAAGTAAAATTGATGAAATGAATTTAAGCGTAGCCAACTAAGCAAATGCATTAGTGTAAATTCGTTAGTTTTCAACATGAGGATTTTGCATTCTCAATAAATCAAGTAATGGTAAATTTAGAAACGGATGTAAGATTAGCAGAAGGATGTGGTAATTTGACCGAGAATCAGAAGCACCATAGACGTCCTTGTTATGACTTACATCTTCATAATTGTGATATTCATTGTTATAAAGGATGACTGTGTAGTGATTTTTCACACCGGACACCACATCGCCATCCACCGAGTCGAAGAGCGCCGGATGAAGTCGGTGGGCTCTGGACTGTTGAGCCAGACAACGAGCCTCCATGTGACCAGCATCACGATTGGAGGGACAGGTGTGCGGGAAATGACCAATGCCCAACTGAGAGGCGTCCTCGGAAGCAGATGTGCTCGGTAGATGACTTAGAGGAGGCGGCCAGAAGCACTCTGCCTCCGCCGTATCGAAATCACGTGGCTTTTCAGCTCCAACCTCTTGCTTGGAATGAGTACTGCTCAGCGCTGGGTAGTCTGTACGAGGAGAACCCTAAGGGCGAATGCAAACAGCGATAATTCATTCAACCAATGACTCGATCTCGCGACATCCTTATAGGCTTCGATTTTGCTGCACTTTCCACAAAGTTTAATACTACGCGCAATCACGTGTTCCTGGGTCTAAATAAAGCGTAAACCTAAACAAGAGTGACACACCACCGTCATCTTCCTTCATGGCATACCTGAAGCAGCTCAAAGAGGACAACGGAAGCGCTATTGACGAGAGGTTCCAGAAGGTAAGTGCATCGACGTATCACATCGACAGGGAGTTTGGAGAGGCGAGAGCGCACGAGTTCCATTTCAAGGTTTAGTTCCTCACTAACACTGCGGAATGTGTCTGCGCCCGAGGACTTGCCATCGCCTGTTTCCACATCACCCTCCCCTGCGTGGATTCTGCACCAAGCACCGCTAGTCCAGGCCTCTTCATCGCCACAGTCGCAGTAGCCACCACCAGAGGCATGCATCTACACCAAATGTGCCAGTGGAAACAAAAAGGTGTTAGAAAACGACCTCAAGGTGATTGCAAAATAAGTAGATGTTTGGACGAAAATTGGAAATATGCGAGTTACAAAGGAAAATCAAGTGAATTCTGGCGCATTTCGCAACACATAAGAGATGAGTACATAACGACTCGTCAGAGGAAGTAAGCACAAGTGCAGTTCGGTCATCGGTTTTAAAAATTTATTTAATGCAATGAAAACTATACCTTGAGCGTCGCCTCTAGATGAGTGATAAAAATTTTCACCGGCACCGTTAGAAGCGACCTGATGCGCTTAAAGAAAAGTGGCGCTGTCGTGGGAGGGACAAAATCCAAACTACTTGAATGGCAGTATGCACACGGAAGTCTTTCACACTAAATATATGTTAATTTGACATCCTGTCAAGTTTCATTTTTTGCTTCTTAGGATAGAGTCCACGTAACTCAGCGAAATAAACAAAATATTTAGTAAATAAACAGCATTCGAGGATCAAGACTTAGGCAGAGAAATAAGATGTAAACAAAGACACAGGTATACGTTTAAAATGTCCAGAATATACTCCGGTGTGGTGAAGCGTAACACCAAAGCTATTTCAAGCGATGGAAAAGGATAGATCCTCGGATATGCAAACCCACAGGCTACGCAATGCTGCTTGATTGCGCAAACAAGGGTTTGGAAAAATAAGTGTTTGACTTTTATGGCCCCACAACAGCAGACGATTTCCTAATCCAATTAATTAAGAGCTTTCAAAGCACTTAAACCTCTACTTGGGATTCAGTCGGTCATACAGGAAACTAGGAAATAATTCTAATGAGCAGCATTTGGTACGGCCTTTTTTCGAACAGCTATCAGTGTTGGCACGAATTCGTAATCAGCACAGTTAACTCCCGACAATGTGGTGCGGCGCTACAAAATAATTTACTCCATTAAATTATTTGACATTAATACTTCACCAAAATATTGGTAAGCAGGATCAAGTAACAGAAACGAGATTATGGGATGCAAATTGCCTAAAAAGACATAATGTCTATAGCAATACTGGAAGCAAATTATTTTTACAATTTTTAATCCACGAAAAAACAACGTCATGGACACCTACCAAGGGATAGTCAGAGATGTGACCAGAAGTTGGGGAGTCCAGAAAACTAGGTGGCCCAGGGTAGCGTTTCATGCAACTCGAAGCTCTCGGAGGTTCATTAAACGACCAAGTGACACAGGAAAACTTTACAGTGTGGCTGTCAACAGCACCAGGCTACCAAGGGTGAATAAAAGCACGACAATGGGCACTGCATGTGAGCTGCCGCATTTACGTGACTTGACGAGTGGGAAAGCCAAATTCAGCTTTGAAGATGAGATTGGAAACACGATAACGTCACGAAAAGGCAATACGGGTTAACATTGAAGGCTAAGGCAGCAGTGGTGGGGTTTGGTGAAGCTGGAAAATAACCATAATATTTGATCGATTTTTTAAAACCATGGCTACCTTTTCCGCTCTTCTGAATTATGTCCCAAATTTTAAAAATGCCAAAATTCGCAGTAAGTTACGCACACAACCTGAGTGCATGACAAAATGGCGTGGTCACCGTTATCAGGCATATATGTTACACATGACAGCAGCGGTTTATAAACAGTTCTGCAGACAACAATGGGTTTCGGATCTCAGCCTCACGTCCCAACTAGGATTCGGGGACACGATGCGACTCAAAGCCTGGGCTACATGAGCCAATCCATTAAAAGCGCACTTTAACAACACTGAGCACACGGGTTCACCACTGCGTATTCTATTTCCGACAATCGGTTAAACGAAATTGCGCAAATCTATCAACTGAGACCCCCCGATTTGAATCAAATGAAAAGGTCTGTTTATTTGTGCACAATACACATCGCGTTTGTAGCCTCAACTAACCTGATGAAGGCTTGTGTAAAAATTGTCATATTTCATTAAGTGTGAGTGCCAAATCTCTGCATTTATGATTTGCTCAATAAATTGGATCGTGAATGCACCGTTTTATCCGAACCGGGGAAACGACCGCCGCCGATGCATGAATGGAGTGGAAGAACGCTACTCCTTTTCTAACTCATTGTCCACACAAAATATAAAATAGTGCTCATGTCTTGGTTCCCCGACACAAGTGGCGGAATGAATAGCATAATAAATTAGGGACATCGTGCTTTTAAAATAGCTCAAATGTGATAGTGGAAATCCGGAACATGAGATTAACAAAAAAGAAGACTAGACCACAGACGACTTGTGATGCAGACCGTCCTAGAAATTAAAGTCACAAGAAAATAGTATGATACTATGCATTTTCATAGACTAAAATGGATTCTACCAATTACATCCGTATTGGGCTATCGCATGTATAAGCAATTGCGCAAATTAGCGTGTTTTGATTTTTTTCGAGCCTTCTCTATCTAACATTGTCGGTGGTGCAAAAACTCAAGGTAGATACAACACAGCAAGGATTTTAGGAAAATTAAGCTGGAAGCAAGACTCGCCAACTGAAAGACTACCCACAAAAACCGACAATGAAAAGATTTTCACATAGTTTTGAGGATGTATTTATCTTGCGGACGAGGTCCCATTTGCGGGAGTTATCACCTTTCAAGAACTGACTCAGTTCGATAGGCACCAACCAGGGAGGCTAAACGACTACAGACTGAAACAGCACCAATACTTTGGTAAGTCAGCAGCCTCTTCATCACACTTGGTCTATCAAACATCCGATGGGACCAGAGAACAACAAGGCTGTTGGAGAAAAGGTCGATGGGAATGACACAATGCTAGTTACCTTGTATCTGTGATTGGCGTGAATGCTAGCGAAGAAGCAAGTGCGACAGAGGGCACAGGTTGGATCAGTTGAACAGTCCCTACAAAAAGGGAAACGTTACTTCAAGAGCTTTGTCAGTAGGAAACAGTGGAAATTTGGGCGCCTACCCCAAGTGTAGGTTAGCTCAAAACAATTAGACAAATCGGTCAACGTCGCCAACTTACAACGTTGCATTTACTCAAAGACACTGAGGTGTCACCGGACTACAAGGCCGTCGACGTGATTAAAATGATGTCGGCTATACATGATGTCAACTTGCGCTATGGCCTACATAGATGTGGGAGTCATGTAGATATTTTTAGTTTTCCAACCGAATTGTAATTTATGCCAGTGGAAAATTAAGGCAGATCAAAGCACAGGACAGAAATTGAGTGTAAAGTCAAAACATTGTTTCGAGAGGGTAGTGTAGATGCTTAAGTTACAATTTGCGTAGATAACGGAACAAATTCAACTATATCAAGATTCCCCAGACTTGATAACATCAAACTATCGTTAGGCAGCCAATGTAAAAATAATCAACTCACAAGACATGTGGTTTTGGCGGCTAAAGGTGAAAATTAGCTAACAGCACAATAAACCCCATTGAGCAACAAAGTAGCAATACGTTCCACCTTGTAAAAGGGAGACCAGTCCTTTCACGTTGTTTAAAATCTTTCGATATGAATTACTTCTCGACGTGTTTACCACATTTGTGAAGCATACAGAATGAACGAGCAAGTATTAATTTAGTAAAAAAAATACTAGCGGCTACGAAAATATCCATCTGAGTAGCAGGGTATTAGCTTTCCACCATGTTTGAAAACGATAAGGCATTGTTCCCAAATTCAGCCAGGAATTAAGAACCATGAAAATGCACTAGACTCATGAAGTTTGTGAGATTTAGACAAAACCATCGTGCTATTAGGTGATCTGGAGTAGTGTTCATTGAGGGCGCTATCGGCTACCCCATTTTGGCAATGTAGGCTATTACAGTGGATATTGATGTGTGTTCGCTAGTTATAATGGGGCTACCGTCAATGTCGGCAGCTAAAATGTGTCCGACAGTAACTTCTGTGCAATGCTTGCTTGTCGCCAATTCGATACTTCTGCGCCTTTTCTTCAGCTGAATTAGTTTTGATGCCTCATCCATGCAATGGATTACTTCCACATTAACACATCAAAGTTTTGGATATTATAGCCCCCGAGATACGACCTAACGCAAAATTTTCAGAAAACCTTGTAAGAGGAATTCAATGTAATGTTGCAAGCTTGAATAGGAATTTCTTCATTTTAGAGTGGTGACAAATTACTAAGTTAGCAATCCGTGCACCGTAAGAAAGAATTTTTCAGTAAGAAGTAAAAACCTACTTGCATCGAAATGTGGGCTCCTGATCCATGAAGATCTGCCCACATGGAGTACGCACTTTGGGGCAAACAACGCCCAGTTTTTTCTTGAGCCTACTCAGCGAATCGTTATCATCGCCAACACTTCCTCCAGCGCTACCGCATTCAGGAATCTCTGAGTTCGCGAGAAAATCCTCAAAAGCTGCAAAGATGGAGTCAAGCAGCTTATTATACTCAAAAAGTTCTGCTTCGATCGAGGTCTCGTCGATAGACTGGCTGCTTAAGGAAGCTGCCGCATCCTCCGCAGTGGCGACTTTGGGTTGGCAAGTTGAGAGGGCCGCCGACTTGATGGCAGAAAAGAGCACTGTTTCAAAACCCGAACGATCAGAAGCCACGAAAGTTCGTTCCAAATCCTTTGTGGAAACAAGAAAATTAAGTTGGGGAAGTAAGCCTGATAAAGCTAAAGGAAAGGGGCAGAATCCCAAGAAATCCCTCAATGTATTTGAAGTTAGAATCAAATCGACGATAGTTTTCCGGAATTTATCAAGATAACACTGACGGAGTAAGGGACTATGTGGTGGGAAGCATAGCGCAATTCAAATCACTTTTTAAATAAAAGGAAGCCTTCATAAGACAGGATACACTACAATTGTATCGTCTAATCTGTGATTTCAGCAATTATTAAGCCCCACCCTCAAACCGTAAAGGAGTCTGATTAGGCTGTTGGTGTTCATTTCAAAATTTGTTTTGATGTGTAGTCACCAGCAGACCACCTTACAATCTCACGAAGACAAGTGCTTATCAAAAATTGAATTAATAATTTGAAATAATGTGCCGGATTTCGTAGGCTATGTGAACAAAGTCAGCACGTATCCCATTCATGGTGGTAACAAGCACTGAAGCATCAAAGACTAGCCCCTGAAATCATTCGGAGGAGTCGAAAAACCGGAATTTCGGCAAAAATGTGACAATGTTTACAGGGCTACAAAGTGTATTCATAAATAAGTTAATTAATTAAAATAATTCCATCAATACTATATTATAGAAACTTGACCCCCACAGGAATGTATGTGAGAGCTTGACTTGGTACAGGCGCAAGACAAAATAAGGCGGGGAAAAAGATTGTTGCGAAACATGAAAACACAATCAAGGGAAAACTCAGTAACGTACAAAATGTGCTTGTCATGTAAAACTAAGTATCGAAACAACTCAAATGTCATCTATACTCCAGGAATCCGTGCCTGGGCCTAAGTTAACGACTACACATTTACCGGCTAACTTTTCGCCGATAAAAAAGCTTATCATGAAACCGAAGCTCCACAGACATGCATTAAAAAATTCACATTAACACTGAGTGCTACCAATAAACATGGGAGTTATAATAATGAAGTGAACCCAACTGTGCGATACTTAAAGCAGTCGGAATTTCAACTAGAAAATTAACCAGAATGTTCTTAGACGCGGCTACGTAAAAGGTCTCTTGTCCATATTTATTAAGTATAGCTGCACAAATTGTTTCTAGCATGCAATTCACAAGGCTACGTAACGAGCCAATCGTGATACAAGAAGACGAAAGACGCATCTAAGAGCACATATGTCCAAAGCCTCAAGACCAGCAGTGATTGTTGTATCGCCGACAAGACTAGGATCTAGCTTAAGCGAAGCTTAATGAAGCTACAGGGACAGCGAAACACAAATCAGTAGAGATAAGAGCTGTCGTATATATCACATTCGGCAATTTGCTCAAACAAACTGACTTTAGGTAAAGTAAACAAATGTCACAATCCTAGTTCATAATATAAGTTGTCAATAACTAGGCCCTTTATTTCGTCTGACTTGCTTAGGTTTCAATATCCAAGTTGGTTTTATAGGCAAAAGACGAAAAGCTGTGGCAAGTCTAATGGCGACAAATTTTGGCGACAAACGTTAGTAATTTTAATTCATCTAAAAAGGATGGGAAATTAGCCACAAGTGAAAATACATCATATACAAATAACCTGTGATTTACCAAGTATGAGGTAGAGTATTAACCTACGAAGTGAATTTATCAACGCCCAAGTTAAAAACCCACAAAGGGCTGAATAGTTTCCAACACGCATCATGGAGTAGCGGACCTAACTTCGTCTTATCACTTAAGGTTATCCGACCAATATAAAGTTTCACACTTAAGGGAAACTTCGACAAGAAATCTGAGGCCGTTACAGTACTTTCTGGCATTAAATATGCATGGAACATGATAGTAAAAATTGTGATTAGACAAAATAAAAGTGACGATAATATGAATTTCACCAGCTTACCTCTAACACAGATGACGGTGAATTACTACTTTCCATTTGCGAAATAACTACCACGGCATTTTTTGCACATAAAACAAACTTGGAGTGTGTGACCTTTTTACAAAGCTCGTATTGGTTATATTAATTCGTCATATTTATCAAAAATCCCTTCCTTGTGTGTTGAGGCAGCAATAATTGATTCCAAATTAATCAGAATGGGACATATTTTGATTTTCCAAAGGAACTTTCATGTAAAGATTTCTGAAAATAGACGAGGACAATATTTTAATAGTGGTGATTAACATATAACGAGCATTGGCAGTCTTGGTTTACCAATATAGCATAAACAGTTCTTAATTTTTTTAAACGTAAATTGACTGGCAAGCGGGTTTGATGGTTTAAGATAATTAGTCATCGGATTTTTAATCTATGTGAATCTTCCAAAGAAGGATTTCAAGTCACGTAATAAAGATAGATTATTAGGACCAACCTAGAATTGCTTATTAATATACCAAACTATAGTGCTAATGACATACAAAAATCAGCTAAAAACACAACGCTCTAATACTAATAATTTTCTTATTTAGTCCTAAAGCCATGGTAAATTCAGTCGATGATATTTGCAGTATGCATATTGTGGATCGAATGCAAATAGTGTTCAACATTCTTCAACTTGAGTGATTTTAGCTTTGATTGAGAACACAAAAAAAATATTGGGACTAAGATATTATAAAACATAAATTGACCATCTGAGAATATATTAACTGATTATTATTAAGGGCGGTCCCTTTTTTTCAAATACTTAAATTAAACATGTTACAATAGCTTAATAACTTGCGGAAAAATCATGATCTGGCAAAATTCAAGGAGTTTTTAACATGGTTTTTGCCATTCATCAAAAATAAGTGAAATATAAACTGACATAACTTACCGAAATTTATGTAGTACAAGCATTGTGGACTGACAAAAATGGCATTCACCACAATTTCTAACTTATTCACTGTTTCAGAGATATCAAAAGTGATAACTTTGCAGCCGATGTTCGCTAAAAATTGAAAATATTGTCCAGTTACTATGTAAAATGATTGCATTCTAAAAGGGGTTTTAATTTTCGAAAAAATGGAGACATGAATTGTAATTGGTGATTACAGGCAATCGAACTGATTGTATTAAATACCGAAGCCTATTTCGGCAAGTTTAGTGGCACAAATCTCGATGAAGACAGTAGCCGATCAAAGTGTAAAGTGGTTTATATATGTATGCTTATAGTTCAATCAACAAAAAAACCGAAAAAAAGTAAAAATTTACTATGCCTGTTGTGATTCATTTGTTTGTTTAACTATAATTTTCATCTAGAGGCGATTGAATTCGCTTTCGTCGCTAGTGCAGTTTCCGTTGAATTCTGTTAACTTTAAACGCTACTTCTTTATTAAGAGACCAAATTAACACACTTGCCACAGACGTTATTAGCGACATTGTAACAAGAGCATCTGTGGTTACATTGATTTGAAATTCATTTCACTAAACCTGGATCCTCCACCAAACTTAACATATCATCAATACAAAGTTATTTTTCATGTTTTACTGTTCTATTAGCTACTTTTCAGTGGTTTTGTGGATCTCTGATGAGTTTTCAGTCTCAATAATAGGTAAGATTACTCTCAAATTCGAGTGATAGCCATTCAAATGTTGTGTCTGCTTCTGTCCAATCATATCATATATCTTTGGGATTTAAACATGTTTTAAATTTTAGCGGACGTTGCAATACAATGCAACAACAAATGCAATTATAAACGCGAGCTATTTGTTAACATAGGCTGGAAACATTTAGTTAGAATTCGTACACTGCCGATGATGTCAAATTCACAAAAACTGCCCACAGTAGTTTGATTTTCGTGATCATTTAAATTCTTTAACACAAAAAATAAAAAGCTTTAAGTTTTTAACAGTTTACAAGCGTTATTACGTCATTTTAACTTTGTTTCCATTTGAAATATCTATTTTTGGTTTGTCGTAAGTCATTTAATGTCTTTAGTAGAAATCGTCTTTGTTCCAATTAATTAAAAAAAGTAGTTGGAAAAATGCAAGAGCAAATCACGTGTGGGGCTACAATCCAAATTTTGCATTTTTTTTTTTGAAGTCAGATGTTTGATTAGATCTTAGCAAAAGATCACGTGAAGGGGGATTGGTCAGTCGCTGGCGGTGCGTGATGAGGATCGCGGGTGGCTCAGATGGTAGCGCTGAAATGTCTCAAGTTTCTAAGCGTACCTACATTAATCGTATGTTCTATTTTTTATGTCTATATTTAAGCTTGGCTGAGACGTGGCCAGACAGCAGACACTGTGGCCCTTCAAGCTTCCGCAGATGCCCAATCTATCAATGAAATCTCCTCATCGCCACCTGACGACCTATCATCGAAAATATTGCGTCAGGTTGAGTTTTACTTTTCGGACGCCAACATTTTGAAGGACCAGTTTATGCTAAAGTCTGTCAAATCTAACAAGGATGGATGGATGAAACTATCAATTATCGCTGGTTTCAATCGTATACAGAGCTTGACGAAGGACGAACGTGAAATTCGGGATGCGTTAAAGGTTTCAAACTGCGTGGAAGTTTCGGATGATGGTCAGTATATTTTGCTTCACCTTATCATATATAGGAATGCTTATACGCCGAAAAAATCCCCTCCCGGAATGGGATCGACTGGTGTATACTAGAACCGTTCTTGTCTCCAATTTTGCTTCAGATGAAGTTGTGTCCGTTGATTCAGTATTAAAGCTCTGTAAGGTAGGTAGCTTCACAGATGCCGTTATACTTAGTCAATGAACCTGCCGGTTGTGCTTGTTCGTATCGTGGATGCTGGTAAAGAGGTACCCCGAGATCTTGCAAAGTCGGCCAGTATACATGGCTACCTTGGTGTTCAGAAGTGTGCTGTTGTTGAATTTGAGTCACGCAACGCTGCGCAACAAGCGGTTGCCTTTTTCAGGGAGGCATGGCCGAAATGCTACTCGGCTATTCTGAGTAAGAGTAACTTATGTTAAAGTACTTCAGGTTACAACCCAAACAAGTCTTCAAAACCAAAAGAAAAAAACAGAAAAAATGGTAAAGACAAGGAAATAATTAATTTGTAAGTCGTGTCCTACTTTATATTATATTTGTGCAATTGCTATTGCAATACCACATGTAGCACTCGTTTTGTGTTTATGTGAAGACTTTTTCTTATCCCTTGTTTCAAGCATCTAGGAGTAAATCATCTCATTTAAGGTAGTCTACAGTAATTTTAAAATTGTTTGTAAACGTTATTCAATCGTAAAATTTTAATTTAACTAAACAGTAACCCATGTTTTCTAATTGCAGTAGTTGTTTTATCTTCGTATTTTAGTCCCCAATCTGAGATACCTTTGCGTCCACAGATAGTTCTGACTTCCAGCAAAGATGCTGGTGCAAAAGTTGTTTTGATTCGTGAGCCTAGGGCTCCTCAATCAGACGAAAGTGTTGGGTTCGAACCCGACTGGCGCGAAACCCTGCGTTTGCAACGTTCCTGTCTTCAGGACGCTGACTCCTTCCAGCGTCTCTCCCACTCTACTTGTTCCGATGAATTTCTAACCCCTCAGGCATCCTCACCATTAAAATGTCAACAACAACCAGGCGCGGTGGCTACTGGTCAACTTGCATCGCAGTTCATGCTACTTGATGAGGCTATTGCCTCGCTGGTTCCCATGGTGAAGACAGGTGAAGATGGCGGGGAGTAATCAACCTTACAGCACATATTGGTCCCTTTTTATATTGATTGTACGCATTCCCACCGTCCCTTTAACTCGTTCAATTACCGTCTTGTTTACGACCTGTCGTGAACAGTTCAGAATAAACATTTTTACGCTCTTTTTGTTCTTAAAATGAGTCTATTTTGCTTCGAGTTTGTAAGGATGGTATAGATTGGTGGTTCTCCAATCCCATTTGCGTCAGTTTCTTCATATTTGTATTTTTATAAAAGAGCAGTTCTGGTATCCAAAAAGATAAATTTCTCGAATGAATTACTCCGACGTTTAAGACGTCTCCAACCCCACTACTCTTTGCTCTCTTGGGCTTGATCTTGTGAGTTTCCCAAGCCCTTCTTAGAAGTACGGTATAGTTACATGTTGACGACCACTTTGCATAGCTTATCAATCCCTTGCAGAAAATTTGATCAGCTGACTTGACTGCGGTTGGGTCGAAACCTCAGAATACGCAGGAGAATATTCAGTCACTTTGTAACTCTGGTAGCCAGAATGTGTGTAATGGTGTGACCGTGTCAATTACTTGTCAGACGCAACCACCTCCTAGGGCTGATTGTGGTTCCACCTTTCTCCTGACACGATGTGTGCAAGTGAGAGGACAGGGGTCGGTGACGAAAGTTGGGAGGGGAGGCACGGCATCAGGCGTTATGACATTTACGACTGCTTGATGGTTTCATAGTATTCAGCTGAATATTGTGGCGGTGTCATCCAGCATACTTAACTTTTCTGCATGTTCTTTTGGGCACTGGGATAGGCACGCATGTTTCTTAAAATATCCTCAAGAAGCCGCATGTACAGAGCATCAAATATTGTATGTGCGGTTGTTTAGGATTTGTAACGGCAATATCTAAAACCCGTGTTCTTGTGATGGTTCATTTGTTACATATATCGGAAACGAGATGCTTGCGCTCACACTACAATTATTTCATGTATGCCTCAGTTTAAATAAGTGTTTGAAAAGAAAGGTCAAATCTCACGAACCACTGGGTTCCAAACTTGTTTAGGCAGTCGACACATAAGCGAGAGCAAACGCGCATTTTTTGCAGCACCTCTTTGGAACTACTTGATTCAGGACTGTAAATGTGTTTCAGACTAGTTCATAAAATACGAGGCAGAGGTGTTTTACCGATAATTGTTTTTATGCAATAGCGAATTCAATGAATCAGATTTCTCAAAAGTTTGATGCAGTACGAAGTTTCACGAAACACCCCACAATGATTGGAACAGCAGAGTGACAGAAAGATAACTCTCCGGTCGGATGCTTGGACCAAGTCGAAATCGGCGTGTGTCGGTGTGGTCGGCCACGCGATAAGTCGAGGGCAAAGACATTAATGGTGGCCTACTTTGTTGTGAAGATAAATGTCGGCTTACAACCTGCTGTTACTTAAATATTCAGCGTGCAAATGTTTATGACTCATCAAATATTAGAGTGCCTTTCAGCGGCCCTAGGCCACCACAACTATGACTCCTGTCCCTAACCTCACTGGAAATCACGGTCTTAATAATCACCAGCTGCATGGTTCAACGTTCACAGTCTAGGAAAGCTAAGAAGATCTGCTTAATGGGAAACTAACTCTCGTGCCGACACACTGGTACACTTCTGAGAATGAGGTGGACAATTGGGCTTGTGGGGTCCCATCTCTCCACAAAAGCGTTTCCTCACTATCGCTGCTTCCGTCTGCATCGCACACTTTGCTGCAGCACGAAGTAGCACTAACTACCCCCAAATCGACATTGGCGTGTGTCCGTGTAATTGTTTCTTTCTGTCGAGTCGTTTCGATTGGTGTCGTGTTTATATTTCATAAGTGTAAACGGCGTAAGTCATAAATGTGCTAAGAACGAGATTTAGGTCGGGATTATCCCGTGTGGTGACACACCAGTATGCTTGTATGTCATAATGAGATGTGAGTTGAGGTTCCGCTCGGTCGACGGTATGCTGTGAGGAGGGGGGTAGATTGACGGAGAATGGAGCGACCAGATCAACGAGCGTGAACCAGCGCGATTCACAACAACCTATGTATGGGTTTCCCTTGAAAATTGCATCACCGTTATCTTCAGATTTACAAATACTGTGGTGGACTCGTTGACTGACGTCGTCATGGCAAATCACTTGCTGCATTTGAAGTTAACACAGATGAATGAAATCAACTTGCAAAATCGATAATCCCGATTTGAGAAGCGGTGCACAGCGCAAATCTTTACTGAGTGCATGGCCCCTTCCTGCCTAACATGTTGGGGCAGTTCACTGAGCTTGGTGATAACTACTAGCTTGAACCCTAGCATTTTTTATTTGCCTCACCGAATCGCTTTCGTTTCAAAGTGTTAGAGGAAATGACTGAGTCTTTCTAAGACTATCATTAACGGAAAATACCTGAATCCGTGCAAGCAAATCCCTGTTTCCGGCTAAATGCGTCATTCATTAATTTGTTGATCTAGATTTTATTGTGCCTAGTCAGCAAAAACTGGGTGATATAAAGTGTGTCACACGTGAGTTACAATTTGAGCCGCATTGGCTGAAAAATTTGCCTCACAAAGTGAAATCGGAATATAACCTGTGGGTACAATCACTGCTGCAGAAGCAATTCTATTTTGGCCAAAAATCCGAAATTCAGTAACTGGAATCAAGCAGAATTTGCATGGAGGGTAAATCGATTCGGGTTTGACAATTGTGATAGCGGAACTGCACCATAACTGCCTCTAATCACTATTGCCACATATCGATATTAGTTGGCCAAAGACCATCTGATGTGCCTGCTTTCGCCGATTCCTTGCACTACTTTATTCGGTTTTTAACGTCAGTGCTCCAAACATGTGATCTACTCCGTTACACACGACTTAACTCATGCAACACATCACACACAGATTACCTTCAGGACATTGAATTTGCTTTTTCAAGTTGATGATAAGTGTTGACAAGCATTTCTAACAAAGGTGACCAATGCCCTTTTGATTTCTGCACTTCTTAGTCCCAGTCACAACTGGCGAATTCAGCCGTATCAAACACGATCATCGTGATGAGAAAAAGGGAAGTTTCATTCCCGATGTTCAATAATGCTTCCGGTGGTGTACAGTTGTCACGGCACAAATTGTTAATGGGTCGGCGTTACTTCTGTGTCCAAAGCGAAAGTTTCCAGACGACGAAAATCCAAAAATGACCAAAAGAAGGCCATTTGTTATCCGATTATGGGCGATTAAACCTAGTTAGCGAGCGATGTTCTGCTTTAGCACTCAAAGCATTCCATGCAGAGGTACAGAAGGGGCATCAGATGTTTCGTCCTCAGAAGCACAAGATAAACGAAGATAGCAAGAGTTGCCCATGGGTTTGACAATTTATTAAGCAAATTTCAGTGTTCGGCTCAAGTCGAGCATAAAAATGACTTCCAATTAAAATCACACAAAGTACGATCCAGAAGTCGCATCCAAACCCTAGTTGTAACAACGATCGAAAACCGGCACGTTGTACTCCAGCCGCCTACATCACTGTTGTGCACACAAGTGATGAAAAGGATTCTTGCCTGGGAAAAGTCGAGTTCTAGTGAGCAGGAGACGAAATTCCCACACCTCAATCGACAAGTTCGGCGTGATAGGGGGAAGTAAAGATGTGGAATTGGTGTGAACTGGGTATTGCATGTGTAATTCAACAATTCACACCCGAATTGTTGAATCTAATCGAAGACGTGCAGCTAATATCAAAGAATCAAAAATCTAAGTCGCACTCAACTCATTGCCACTTTCCTACGTTGGTCTCATTGCTAACACACAGGCAAAATATAGGGCCAAGCAGCATGGAATGTTACTTTCAGTAAAGCCTAAGTGTCAAAAAAATAGAATTTGTCAGCAGTGTGTGGGAGGTCGAAAAATACTCATTTCATGTCCGCAGCCAAGACGCCCTCGTTTTGCTCCGTTGAGGCCCCAGTGTCAGATTCTAGTCAATTCAGTCGTGGCTCAGTAGTTCGCCGACTGAACATTCATTGCAGGTGCTTCATGCAAATGTTTCATGTTCTCTTAAGCCTCCTTACATTTAATGGGCGCTTTCGCCTGACCGAAAACACAATTTTCGTGGATGTCCTCACGAAGATGTCAGCTTAGTTACCAAAAAACAACCTAGTAGGTCTCAAGTTCTCTTCAAAAGTCACACAACCAAATTCAGATTCAGGAGGTACTAAGGGCTGTTGGATTGCGTTTGACAATTCGTGCATGTAATCGTAATGCTCGAACGATTATACCCAACCATCCGATGGGTTCTTTTATTCGAAAGCACTTCATGCGTTGTGCATATGTACTTCAATCGGAGGATCGGTATTTGCGTCTGAGTTCAAAGGCATTTGGTTCTGAAGATGTTCACTGAAGTTGTCTGCATGACGTCAATTGACTAACCCTTAATATTCAACTTCATGCATCTTGAAAAGCAGCAAGTCCCTGTGGGCAAAAATATTCTTTCTCACATATAACCTCGGACATCTGCATTGCAACCCACTCAATTTTCGAAAGGATGCAGTTAGTCTTGTGGTAATCATCAGGCAAACGACCCTTTCAAATCTCTCCACCGTGGGTGCCTCCTTGTCCGTCTTTGCAGGCATGCGTGTATAAACGCGCTCCCAATGCAGCAACCGAAGCGGCCGAGCGAATGAGCAGTCGTGCTCTGCTGATCCCTCGCTTTAACCATTTTGGGTTTCGCTAAGAGTGATGTGCTGCAACGTGACCACCGTGTCAATTTTCGTGTTACTGGATCACCATTTGATTGTTTTGTGTACCTTGCTAGTTGATATCCAAGCTGAGACTCGACTAATGCAACACGTCAAAACACCTTTGCCTGAGAGCATAATTATTCTTAATTGAATCAACAGCAGCCCTTACAAGCCCACCGTATTATGCAGAAATTAGGTTGCTTAAGCACTAGTTGCTAAATGGACACTTATTTAATCCCATTTGGAATCAACACACGAAGATCTGCGGTAAACTAGTATTGCACCACA